ATGTGAAGCAGATTAGGAAGGACTATTTTCCCAGGTTCCATGGAAGTACCACTGGTTTTGTCCTGCTTCATGGAGCGAGAATCCCCTGGCATGATCTGCTGAGTTAGGGAAGCATGCTGTGTAATACTGTTACCCTGTTAAGGGCAACCTATTGGGTGATTCAGTGCTATTTTTAGATGTGAACTAACAAACATCTGCAAAGTGGCAGAATTTCAAGGGGGCTAGTGTATATTACAGAACTGGAACTTGTAGCCCACAGGCTGACATCAGAGGATGCTTCCATGTTTACATTAGTGCATTGAGTGGTTACATAACCATTTCCAACTGCTTGAACTGGAATCATTTCAGTAACTTACAAAATTAGAAAGCCTATCTTAGGCAAATCTTTAACTAATTTATTGTCATCGTTTTGTGTAGCTGTTTTTATTGAGTTGTAATTCACATGTCATGCTTGCCATTATTTTTAAGTATATAACTCCCTGGTTTTTAGTCAACTTTGTTCACAAAGTTATATGCGAGTCATCACTATATAATTCCAGAACATTGTCATCACTATTACCCTCTGGAAATCCTACACATAAGCAATGCTCTGTAACCTCTAATCTATAGTCTGTCTTTATGTATTTGCTTATCTCAGACATTTACATATATGTGTGACCTTTTGTGTATGTCTTCTCTCAACATATCTTCAAGATTCAACCATGTTGCATGTATCAGTACTTCATTCCTTTTATGACTAATATTTCATTTTATGGATGACCCTATTTTTTCTCCATCCGTTAATTAATGGATATTTGAGTTTTTTCCATATTTTGGCTATTACACATAATACTGCAGTGAACATTTGTATATGTACAGGTTGTCATGTTGTGTGAGCATATGTTTTCAGTTATCTTGGAAACAGACTTAGAATTTTTCTTGATCATGTGGTAATTATTTAACTCTTTGAGGAACTGTCAAAGTATTTTCCCATAGAGGTTTTTTTAAACACCATATGGATATTGTTTTTAACCTGAAATCTACTAAAGAGCAGAGTTATATCTTTAAATCTGTCAGCTATTACTGTGCTTTCATATGGTCCCAAACACCATAGGAACATCAGCAGGTCCAACTTTCCATCTGTGAATATTTACTGTGCGCCTTAATGCTGCTATCTTATAATGTAGGGGGATGTATCAGTCAGCAGAATGGGGAAGGTTCTTTTTGTCACGATCTGCCAGTCTGGGGGAGGAGGCAGAATTTACATAAATCCCCTCTCAACTAAATATATAGTTAACTGGTAAATGCTGTAAAGGAGAACTTGGTGATGTTAAAGCTGAGATCTTGAAAATATGTAACATTTATAAGTGAGGGTGGAGAGAAAACTTGTTCTAGTTGTGGAATCACATGTAAAGAATTTAAGGCAAAAAGAGTATGTTGCTTTCACCACAAAGGACTTGGGAGAAGGCAAGAGATAACAATGAGTGGGTAACTGGTGCTGCTTCATCAAATTTTTTAACTTATTTTTTGAGGCAAGTTGGAGGCATGAAATATTTTTATTAAGATGACTTTAGGCCCTCCCTGGTGGCGCAGCGGGGTAAAGCACTGCATTAAGAAGCTCAAGCCACTTCTACATGAGTTCGATCCCCGCCTGCCCTGGAGGTGACCACATGGCTTGGCAGACCTCTCCTGACCACCCGCTGCTCCCCTCAGCAGTGTACTTCGTTGATCTGCCTGTTCTGCTCCCCACTTTGTCCTGGTGAATTCTCTCACCCTCCGCATCTCTGGCCTATACCCCAGTTCTGTATGAATAAAATAAATAAATCTTTTTTTTTAAAAAAGATGACTTTATATTATGTATCTATGTATAAGTGCAAGGATATATAAATTGATACATGGTTATGGCCTATATGTGAGATCATTATACATAGTCACTATTGCTATACTGAAGCAATCAAGTGTAAGTTCAGGAAGCTGGTGGTGAGGCTAATGCAGACCTGGCATTTGGAGATGATAATTTTGCTGCAAGTAGGGACGCTGGTATTGGTGATAATGGAGAAGATATTTTTTAATTGCCAAAATTTGAGATACTTAGAGCATAAAATCTTCAGTAGTAAATAGTATCCCCAATTTTCAAAGTTTTATTTTGCATGATAGTAGGAGAAAATTTAAAATAGAGCTGAACAGTGAGGCATGTGAGCATAAGACTGCAACAAATCATAGTACAGCATTGCTAAGAAATAGAAATTAAGTTGCCTTATAAAGTATTACTAGAAAAATAATGGAGTTGACTCAAAATAATAATTGAATTATAAACAAAAAGACAAGATCATTGTGTGTACAAAACTTAAATGCTGTGTATAGTCTACCCGTGACAGATTGGAAAATGGAATTAAAATACCATTTACAATACAAGAAGAATGTCATCAGATATTAAGCACTAAATCCAATAAAACTCCCATATGTTGTAAACTACAAGATAAATCTGACATAACTAAATGAAAATGTAAGTAAATGGTACAGCTTGACCATAAATTAAAAGGTTCAATCCCCAAATCAAAATCCCAGAATGATTAAAAATTGACAACTTGATTTTAAAATTTTTATGGAAATGCATAGAAATTAGAAAAATCAAAGACAGTAGTATTAAAGAATGCAGTGGAAAGACACTACCTAATTTCAAGAGTTACCATAAAGTTACAAGAATCAAGATGATATGTATTAGGGTGAAGATATAAAATTGGATAAATGGAATAAATGGAGTCCAGAATGAGAGGTCCAGTGTAGTGGACCATGACACTTTAATGGGAAAAGAAAAATCTTTTAAGCAGAATAACAGATATGTTATTTGAAAGCTTAATACAAAAATGCATACTATCTAATTCAATTTATAGTCAGTGTAGGGCTAATCTATGGTGACCAATTTATATTTACCTCTAAGTATAAGGATGAATTGTAAGGGTCATGAAGGGTGTTTTTGTTCTGAGTGTTGGATTTATGGGTATTTACAATATTCATATCTCATTGAACAGAACACTTAAGCTCTGTATATTTTGTTGTAAATTATCCCTTCATTAAAGAAAGCTTCATGAGCATGAGGTGATTTTAAATTAATCAGGCAAGTATCCTAAATAAGGGAAGCAGCAGAAAACCTTGAACTTGGTAAGAGTGGTGAACCCCATCATAGGAAGCAGCCACCACTGCACTCCAGGCTCATGTCACTGGAAGGGAATTGAATGAAATCCTGAGCTTTCTAGATAAGCCCAAATCCTCATTTGCATGGCAAATCTCTTTACCTTAAAAGACATTGGACTTTTTTTTTAATCTATGTATTCCAATGAGACAATGTTTAGTTAATATGAGGTTGTATCCAAACTAAATAAATGCCAGTAAAGAACTCTAGATATTATTGAACAATATTTTCTAACTAAAATTAATGCAAATTTATAGCCTCATCTTCAGTATCAGTAAATCTTGGCTGTGGTTGTTAACAGCACTTTGCGAGCTCTCTGTGTTGCCTATTTATTAATTAAAGGGCAGAGTGATTAAAGGGCAGCGTGTGCTCCTTTATTCTTTATTCTTCAAAGCAACTAATTTTGAGGAAGATAATGCTAGCTAGAGGCAAAGACAGCAGCTAAACCCAGGACTCTTTTACTGCAAGTCTGATCTAAACCCCCTTGATTCTCTGGGGGTAACATCGGGGGAGCAGGTTTGTTCCTGGAGAGCCACAGGCATTAATATTCTGTGTGTGAGTATGCACTGATCAATTTCAGATGATTGTGGTTCAGAAACTTGTTCCCTAATTTTCTGAATATTGTAAAAATTGGAACTTAGACTTACTAATAGTTACAGATATTATAATAGAAATATTTAAGTTTTAGTTCTTCAACTTGGAATTTAGTTTTTAAATCAAATAAGTTGATTCACCAAAGTACTCTGTAAAATATTCATTGTTGCATTAGTTCATTAAGTGAGACACAATTTGCCTTATTGCCAGAGGTGCTAATGAGGTGCTAGAGATAAAAAAAAAAAAAAAAAAAAAAAGTATAACACTGCACCTGTGTGTAGAAAATTCTGGGACACAAACAAAAGATAATATTTAGATTAAATTGCTTAATATTGTATACTAATTTCAAGACATTGGTATATAATTAATGTCAGATTAGCTTTTTGGCATTTGGGGGGTATTATTATTGTGATTTGCTTCAGAGAGTGCAATGTCCTCTCTTCTAATATCAAAATAAACCTGAGTCTAGCATTGTTGTACCTATAAATGATTCATTCTGCACATATTTGCTGAATGACTACTTGGTGTCAGCTATTGTATTTTCCGGGGAATAGTGTTAGTCATAGCAAATTTAACTTTACCCTTAAGGAATTTACTGTGGGATAAGTTGTTGACCCTTAACATGTTCCTTTTCTCTTTCCTGGTGTTTGCTTTATCTTTTCATGCCTATTGGTATATTCATTATTATGTCACAGACACATAGCAGTGTGGAAATAGTATTGAAACACTAAGAAGTCAACTCTTATCATCATTTGTTGTAGCCTCTTTTTTTATTTCTTCTCAATAGTCTCAAGATTAAATATTTGCTGTTTTGCATTATTATAAGTCTAAAGGTGCAAATTATTTTTCTGTTGGCTTTGTGTTTAAGGTTTACTTATTTAGCAGTCTATTCTATGCTTGCTGTTCTTTTTGAATTCTTGTTATGGCTTCTAAAGTATTTTTAAGTTTGCCACTCCCCTTTTCACATATTTTCATGACTTCCCCTTCAGCTAAGCTCTGTAATTTCTCTGTGTGAAATAGAAAGCCTTCAGAAGCCCTAAAGAGGTCACCTTCTGGTATCTGAAATATTGGTTGTTTCTTGTTTGTATTATTTGATATGTTTTTGCTATCATAAACAACTTTTAAACCTATAAAAATTGCTACTAGCTAATTGATCTGAACTGTTTTAAACAGTCATTTCAACAGAAACAAATGTTTTGATAAATAATAAAATTGTCACCTTTTCTCTTTGCAGTTTTGAGAAATGGTGCTTGGGAAATTGTGCACTGGGAAAAGGTATGCATTGGTTTTTATTTCATTCCAGGAGAAGAAATGTGTAGAGGTATACTTTAATAGATTTAATTTTGTATATAATATAAGCAAAAGTTAAGAATTCCACTAATGTGGAAGCTACTTTAGTTATTAATGTAATCATGCAGTGCATGGCATCTTGAATTTGTTACTTTATAGCAATGATTTTGGAAAATAATAGACAGACTATTACCTTGAAATACTAGTTGGAACTTTTTATTTCTTTCATAATATATTTTGAGTACTGTTTTCATAGATTTCATTTAATCATAAACTGTTTTGTGTTGTAATTTTTTGCTTTAATCATTTACTGTCCAAGTAAAAATAATAGTTTTGATATTTCACATTTATAAATTTTACTTGAAATTTATACACTGTGAATAATCTTATTTACACATGGACTGTTTTCCAAAATAACTAAATGCCATCTTCTAGTGAGCTGGAAATCAATTTCATAACACCAACATTAGTTTGCTCACAATATCTCTAACACAGCAGTTAAGAGTTGAATCATAATATAACACGTGTTCTCCAAGTGCTTTTTAGGTCTCAATTTCAAAAGGTAAGCAACTCTTACTAGAACATTTAATCTCTAGTCTCCATAACTTGGTAACTTGGTGGCAAGGCCATTCTACCCAAAGGAATTGTTTTCAAAGACTGCTGGGACCTTAAAGGCAGAACTCACAGTCATATTATTGCACCCCAGTTCTTCCCTGCAGGTTAGAGACCAGACCCTCAATCTTGGCCTTTGGTTCTCATGGTCACCATGTCTCCCTGCCCAGAATAAGATTCTCTCAGCGAATTTATTCGTGTTGATTTTAAATCATTGGTTAGAATAAGGGTTGACAGCCTGTTTTTCAAATATATGAAAACTCATCACTCTCTTTCTTTGCTCTTTGACATGAAAATAATGATGAGGAAAATACTTATTTCTTACTTCGTGACAGTTACCTCTTTCAGAAAAGCAAGATATAAAAGAAAAGCTCAAAACACTGTTTCAGAAGAAATTTTCTTTATCCTTTTATCTAATACAACTAGACATAAACATTTTAGAGAAAATATAATTATGATAAATCAAATTTTTTTAAAGATTTGTTTATTTGTGCATACAGAACTGGGGTACAGGCCAAAGGCTCAGGGGTGGTGAGAGGCTTCACTAGAGACAGAGTGGGGAGCAGAACAGGCAGATCAACGAAATACACTGCTGAGGGGAGCAGCGGGCGGGTCAGGAGAGGTCTGCCACGCCATGTCTCCTCCGGGGCAGTCAGGAATCGAACTCATGCAGAAGTGGCTTTAGCTTCTTAGTGCTGTGCTTTAACCCGGTGGGCCACCAGGGAGGGCCAATAAATCAAATTTTATTATAAAGTATTTGCTTAACTAAGTTTGTTAATGTAGTTAGCATAAATGCATATCCTAACACATTGAATTATCAGTTTCTTACCTTCCCAACTACAATGCTTGTTCAAAAAATAAACTTATTAAAATATCTTATTTTCCTACTATATCATCATTATTTCAAGATTCTGCTTATCTGTCTAGATTATTGTAACTCTCCGATTTTTTTCACATAGAGAACAATTAAATTATCAGGCCACAATTATTCATAATGGCAGTATTTTCAGTATTTTCATCTTATAGATCATTGCCACACCTTGCTTAGGCAGAAGAGTAGAATTTAAAGCATTATCGAGAGTCAGTTAGGCAAAAGGAGCTGATGTTACATAATAAAGTAAATAGATAGTTAGGATTAATTATAGTTGACTCTATGATAAATTCAGGTAAATATGCAAAAACTAATAGCATTTTTGCTGGCATATCAATTTAGGAAAACGTATTGATAGAAGAGAGTTCTCTTTCCCAGTGATATGGATGGATATGGTCTTTGTAAAGAAAATATCAGAATTTTAGACGGCAAATATTCAGACAAATGTACAATTGTATCTTAGTCTTAGAAAAGCTAAAACTAAAGATATCATTTGTTCCAAAGTATTTAATGTTATCCCAGAGAAGTTACTTGCTTTCCCTAAAAGTTGACCCAATTACTCATCTTGTTTTCAAAAATAAGCATTTCAGAAAGTAGAATATTTTTGTATGAACAAAAAGCATAATATAAGAATTAACTTTAAATAAAATGGAAGGCAGAAGTTATATTAAAACAATGCACATCTATGCAAAAAATAGATATTGATAATAGACTAGAGTACTCTTGAAGTGAAGCCCATTTAATATTTGATGACTCATATAAATATCATTGGTAAAAATTAAGTCACTTGAGGTCAAAGATCAGCAGTTTTAAGAAATAATACAGTTTATACTTAAATCACAGCTCATGCTAAAATAAATTTTAGTTCACTGAAAGAGTTAAATGTTAAACTGTTTCTGAAAAACGTACAAACAGAATAAAGAATTCACTAATATTTGAAGAACAAATTCTATGAAATTTGATTATAAAAAATGTAAAGATATTATACACCAAATTACCATCAATAAGTAGGATATGAAACATATTTGTACCAAATATAACAAAGAATTTAAATTATTGTGATATAGTTAGCAAATAAATGGTAATAAGCAAGGAGAGATACAGTAGGGAAGTAGGACACAGTATACTATTCAATCTTATAATAATAAAAATTGCTCATTCAAAAATATTGAAGCCTTGATTGCTATCTACTCAATAAATGAAAAAAAAATCTCACATTTCAAAATTTTTATTTTGCTTAGTATTTCATTCCTATGTTATCCTAAGTTAGCAATTTGACTTTTCATAATTGAGAACCAGGATTGAGGGAACTCTTACCCTCAAAGTAAACATCAAATAAGGAAAAATACGCTTATTATGGCATTATTTATAATATTGTAAAAATACATGGCTATCCAACATTAAAGAAAGTATATTATAAGTAGTGACTTTCTACACTCTGGTGTGTTTTATCACAACTACAAGTTTTCAAATTCTGTGACAACACAAGAAATTTCATACCATTGCTGTTTAAGTGGCAAGTGGTGAATCACAACAAGTAAGACTTGTGAGGATTCTGTGTCACAATATAACAATTAGAGGTGAAAAGGCAGAATCATGTACACTAAGATGCTGGCCATGTAAAAATGGTTTATTATTTACTAAATGGTCAGGCATAAAAGCAGACACTTGCTTGTCGGGCTAGCCAAACTGTACATCAAGTCTTTAGCTCATTCAATTTTTTGTACAATTAAAAATAAAATCAGTATTTGAAAACCAAGCACCTAATCCATATGCCAAGTTAATGTGATAAACTTTAGTGCAGATGGACTTCAGTCTAGGGTTCTCTTCTGCTTTTATAAATGTGTGGCTACCGTGGTTGCTTTTAATGGACCACACAGGACATATAAAACTGCAAAACATACATCCCAGTTATTCACAGATGGGCAGTCCTCTGTTCTCAAACATTAACAGTTCATCTCTCTGGTTATTTTCCTGACACCTTTTTACTATTGCACAAGGTTAAGTTGGAAGTGTCTAGGTTTTAAAGTAAGTATTGCAATTATAAAGCTCTCTACAAGAAACAGCATTTCCATTCTTGAAATGTAACCAGAAGTCTTCATTTTCCTCACACAAAAAATAATTCACACTGACAAGCCGCTGAGACTGTTCATGGATTTTGAGATAGATGCATGTGGCGAATCTAGGGCATGAATTAACACCTGGTTTTGTAGGGAAGCATGGAGTGGAGAGCTGTATGCACATATAAAAGTTCATGTCATAAAGCTGCTTTAACATGTAAGTTCCCACCATGAGATGTGGTTCTGTGGATTAAGAATTTGTATCTCAGTAAAATATTAAAATATTTTTAAAATATTAAAAAATACATATAAATATCCTAGGGCCTACAAATGGACTGAGTTGGTTTGATTTTTAAACCAATCTATTAGAATTTGATAATCTTACCTCTTATGTTGTCTGCAGTTGTAGTTGCTGATGTCAGTGAGTTGTGAAGGCTTAGGCAATAGAAAAAAGCCCTGAAAAATATTACCTTCATTTCACCTAAAGCCACTTTGTCATGATGCTCCTACAGTAAAAATAAGTGGTCAAAACTTTTTTGCTACCTTGACTTCTGTTTTTGTCTGTTCTTCTGCACACACCAGACTGCAAGGGTGACTGCTGCATCAATAACTCAGAGCCCAAAAGCAGAGGTGTTTGGATGTGTTTGAATGAGTGAACTAAAACATCAGCCCTATTGGAAGGGAGCAATTGCCCTGCTTTCTTCACATTTCTGTGAGATGCTTTAACTTTCAGTGAGCCCTTGTTTTCCACAAGTCACTGGAATAACTATATTATCACCATAGAAGATGTTATTATTTTCTGTCATCTTCAGTTTGATAACTACAAGCCTCACCTTGATCTTTGAGCAGAGAAGTTAGAAAGCAATGCAGCCAATTGGAGATCTTAAGTCTATAAGGTAAACAAATAACTTGATTTTATAAAGAATATTGGAGAGAAAACTGACAGAGAATTAACAAAGCATTCACACAGAAAACATTAACAGATTGGAAAGAAAACGTTAACAGAGTTAAAGAACAATAAAATAGTAGCCTGGGTGGCTCTCAAGTTCCGTGGCTGCAGAACACTGACATTTCTTCATCTTGCTTTCCATGGGGATTTTCAAAGTACGTTATTTAGAGGGCCACTTCGCATCTATACTTGCTATTTCCTATTTTTCCAGTTTGCTTTTTTTTTTTCCTTCAGAAGAAAGTGTTTGATTCCAAGAGCCTGGCAATTTGTTAATTCAGATCATCCAGATTCCCACTGAAGTAATTTATTTTTAATCAAGACATTCAAATCTTCAGTAGCACAGATGAGAAGATGCCCTCCATTGTTTCCTAACCAGTCCCTTTCTCCCTTTCCACCCCACCGCTACACAAAATAGAATATAATAAACTGTCTCAAATTATTTCTTATCCACATTGATAATCATGTTCGCTTTCCCATGAAGAAGTGTTCTTTTAGGGTTCAAGAAGTAGGGACGGGAATGACAAAAATGCTTTCACCAAAAAAATACTTTCCTCTCTTGATTAAATACTGGAACTTATTTTTCAATTCATTTGGCTGTTAAGGAAAACTTTCAGGATAAAAGGGAGTAGCTATCAATTTGGTGTGGTTAGCAACAAGGTGTTAAATAGTTGAAGTTGCACTGTTTGCTGGAAGCTCTATGATAAATCTGTCATTCAAATTTCTTCTAACAGTTTTTGGTCATAGAATGTCTTCAGCTGTCTTCATGCTAGCTCTAAAAATGCTAACAGCAAACTGAGAAAGAGTTTAAGCTCTTTATTTTTTCTTTAAAATAAGGTAAATTTACTTATGCAATGTCAGGCATGGCAGGACAACTGGATGTGACTGTAAGGCTAAGTTCTTTTCACAGTGATGCTGGGCAAATAAATTAGAATCTAAGACTCATTTCTTTCCTCTCTAAATTATGATGATAGCTAGCACTTATTTGATAAAATCATCATGAGAAATAATGATCTCATTCCTTTCCAGTTTTATTGAGATCTTAAGCAAAGTAATGATTTTATTTAACAAATTCCTCGTTATTTTTATGTCAAAGAGAGAGAATATGAGGAGTTAAGATATCAATTAAGTGATTAAAGTGGATGGATTTATTTTATTAGCCATTATTAAATACATGAGAAAAATACAACATTCATTTTTTAAAGGATTGTCCCGTACTTAGATAATTTTACATAATTTTGTGAAGATAATGGTTTTTGTTTGCCAGTAACCATTTTACTATATTTATGCTTAAATACAATGGGATGTATATTTGTAACTATCTTTCAATGCAGATAATTAACCAATTCCCAGTTTTCTTTCAGGTAAATGTTGGAGATATAGTTATAATAAAAGGCAAAGAGTTTATACCTGCTGACACTGTACTTCTCTCATCAAGGTAGAGATACCTACTGATGCTCAAACAGTGTAGAGGATGGTTTCTCTACCCTGCATTGACCTTGTGATTTCTCCAAGGAAATAAGGAATAAACGAAGAATTTTAAACCTCTCCTGTGATTTTGAATTAAGCATTAAAAAATATGATTTACTGAAAGGACTCTTTCAAGTTTGCCATATAGAATAAGTGATAGGTACTCTATAATTCCAGTGCTATAATTACAATTAGAGTGTACTGTAAATCTGGATATGTTCAGATCCTTTTGTAGATCCTAATAATCCCTTATAAGATGTCCTATCATTTATTCTATATAATATATGCACTGGGTTCTTTTGATTTGAACTTGCAAATCTTGTTCATGATAAATTCCTCTATGATGCATTGATATATTCCTACAAAGTTTCTTGATGTTATGGTGAACTGGTACAAGAAAACAGATGCATAATTTCTTTGTTGTCATATCTTTTGAAATGCCATAATCCCTCAACAAAAAAATTAAATTGCTGTGTTCTTTTAAATTCTTTCATCACTGAATTTAAATAATTTTTTGTTTTACTCGTATTTAAGATAGTCATGAGTTAGCATTCAGAACACATGGCACTTTTACCCTGTAAAGAATGTGACTTTCAAATGGTTTTAGGGTTTAAAAATATAAAACTAGGTCTAAAATAAATTAAGAAAAAGTATTTTTTAATATATTTTAGAGGTTGTTTATCATCATTTCCTTGGACAGTTTTATTTGTAAAACCCACGTATAAATATGGACAGTGTCCTTTTTTCAAAATCTGTTTAATCAGGTCATTATTTAAGTTTAAATTTATGAGAAGCTAGTGAAACTGTCGAGCAAATGAATTACCCATATATTTACAGTAGTAAGTCTGCAACTATAGTTATAAATATTGCAGTTGTATTTCCATATTTTACATAGTTAGGAGGTTTTAGTATCACTAACCTATAAGTTTTGCTTTCAGAAAAATAAAAACTAAAAGGTTTTGAAACCAACCTTTCTGTTATTACTTTTCTTTGCTTATAACTTTACTAGGGTAAGTTTCCAAAACTGTAAGAAAGGTAATGAACCATACAAGGCCTCCTAAGAATAAGTTTACTATGAACTTAAATATCCTTATCTCAGCTACTAGGTAGCATCAGATACTTGAGAGAACTCTTGTTTAGAAGGCAGAAAGCCAAGGCTCATATTCTAGCCTGGTGAGTTTAAACAAAATATTTAATCTCTCAGGCCTTGATTTTACATCTTAGCAAAATAGAGAGATTGATTACCAAATTCTAATATTACGCAGTTCTCCTTTTTGTTTAAATTGACAATCTCTAAATTAAGTCTTTCCCTTATTAAACTTGTCATACCCAAGAATACCATAAATGCTAAACCATTAATTAACATACTTTGTATGCTCAAAGATATGAGGATAATTGACCCTCTTAACTTAATTCTAGGTTGAAAGTTTTCAAAATACTTCTGTCTCTCTCCAAGGTCTCAGAAATACCCAGTAATCTCTGTTCTTGTATTTCTTGACTATCAGAACTTTTCTACAGAATTTATTTTCTGAAATCTAAACCTAAAATGTTTTTCTGCTAAAAACTTTGACTAGTGCTATTAATAATGATATATCAAAATTATTCCTATATCTTAGATATAGCACCTGTTATAATTAGCTCTCTCCAAAGATCATTATTTTTAAATAGATTATTGATTCATTGCTTTTTGTTTTGTAGGATTCAAAATAAATTGTAAGACTAATATTAACAAATTTTTCTATTCAAGTGACAAAATATCACCTTTCACTTGTTTTTTTCTCAAAGAATTTTTGCATTACTTAGCTCTTTTGAGCCCACCATAGTCTTTCTTATTATCATTCAATAGAAAAAGGAATTTTTTTACTTTCTTATGACTGCTTTACTTTAGCTAATGACTAGACTAAGGTTGGAATACTTTTAATATATCTGCATATCCCACTGTCCACTCAAAATTAGTGCATAGTGATTTTTAACTATAGGTGAACATACTATTTATCAGTAAGAATAAACAACTGCTTATCATATTTCAGTTACCAAAAAAAATGTGCAATTAAGTTACTAGTAGCACATCTTCTTTGGATAGGTTGGCGTTAATGCATGAACATGGCTGAAAGTCACTGTGCTTCATTACTTCCACTTTGAAATAAAGAAAATGAATTTTAGAATATAACAATATAAAATATAAGAAAGTAAAAAAAAAACCCCAACCTACTAATTCAAGACCTATTAACTCATAGAATATCTATTTTATACCCTCTGAAAAATTTCTCCTGGATTCAAAAGCTTACCTCCTAAAATAATGTGTTACTTAATTAGTAAAAACTTCAAAAGTCTGCAATTGTGACTTCTAATTTCTTGAATCTTCATCTTTACAAATTTGAATTAAAGTTAATAAAATATTCATGCAGCTAACTTTGAAAATGTTCTGGAATCAGAAAATTTTTAATACATGTGTATGTGTAGGAGACCACATGTTGCATACATCTTTGTTTTTCAAAAACCTCAAAGGTTGTTGCCACCATTATTTCTTTCCTTCTTGGATGGAGTAGATATACAGCATATGGTATGAGAGTCAGAAATTGGAGAAAGAAAAATCTGTAAAGTAGCTTCCTATACAAAAATAGTTTTTTATTGAGTATGACATGTTTATGAATACTTTCAAAAATTAGGTATTCACCAAAGTTGGGTTTAAAAACCAGAATTAATCCTTAATATTTACTTTTCTTGTGCCACTAGACCTGATCAAAATGTTTTGAAAAAAATGGCATTAGACATTTTTATTAACATGTATTATTTTCTATAATAATTTCAAACTTTCTGTCTCTTTTGTCCATTTGTTGTTTTTTTTTTCTCTGTTATTCATTTTTTTTCCGTTTAATTATTTTAAACTGGGACCTATAGGTGGCAGTAGGGGAAATAGTGAAAGTGACCAATGGGGAACATCTCCCAGCAGATCTCATCAGCTTGTCCTCAAGGTTAGAACCACTGAGATGTACAGGATGTGTGTATGTGGATCCTCACCCTACACCAGAGAGCAGTTGCACTCAAACATACTTGAGTTCTGTTTGTCTCCCTTTAAATACAAACTTTTTTGTATTCCTTGGTGATGGACATTTGCAGATCTTTAAAAGTCTTTATATACAGTGTTAGATGATGTTCATCCCTCAAGTGGACAGATTCAGCTCCTATTGTTATCAGTGGGAGTCCTTAAGTCCTGCCAGTAAAGATTTAATTCCTATGCATCATTAATGGAGATTCCTATATTAATAACATGCTTAACTACTCAGACTTTCTTTATTACCTTCCTAGGATATTGTCTTAAACAGTGTTAAGCTTTTTCATGAAGCACAATTATTAAGAAATTTATAAAATTTGACCTATTTTGTATTTGAAACTTTCTAATAAAATTCTATAGAATCCCTTCACTGATTATGATTGTAACTTGGGCTTGTATAGGGTTTACAGAGGACCCCCTGCACAAAACTGGATGTTGTACATTTTGTACTGCATGCTTTGAGATCAGTTATTATCCCACTTGTAACTAGTGACAAAATGCACGTTACTGTGATAAGTGTTTTACTAGTGTCTGTATTGTGATGTGCATCTTGTTTCATTTTCCACTTACTAATCCAAAAGCCTGCTTTGCTTCTCTGACTGTAGCTTGTATTTTGGATGTCATCATAATTTGCTGAAATACTTATTATCTAGCATGATTCCTTATCTGCACCTTCTTGCTGTCTTTTCATAGCACTGTTAAGAACTACTTCATTAACAGTTGACTTAAGGGATTAACAGTGTTCTGAATTTGGATGCATATTTTATTGGCCCCATATCAAATAGCAGCCAACCATTCCACTTTCTGATATCCTAGCCATTTACAGTCCCAGAAAGTTGCTTTAAAAAAATAGAAATAAAAGAATTACAATCAATCTCATTTTAATGTGAGAATGCCCTTGGATATGTTGATCAGTAAAGTTTTAATACATTTGCTACCAAAATATGGAATCAATTTTGTTCATCTAGCATTGGTCATCATGCTTCTACATTATCAGGAAATGTGTTTTATAATTTCATAAACTGTTTATGTTTCAAATTTTAAAAATAAGTACAATAGGAGCAATTGCCAGAGCCAAATTACTACTGTGACATTAATAAAAATAAAATTTCAAAATAATTGATATTTCAAAAATAGAAAACTTTCCAGTTGAGGAAATCTATCAGTTTCTAAAAGAAAAGGGTCAGGGAGGGAAATCCATAAAGTAAATTGGAGAATTACAAAGCTACATTAAAACAAGTCTGTAAAATATTTGATGAATAAGCAAGTATTTCACTTATTTTCACAGACCACAGTTTCCTCCAGCCTACAAAATTAAAAGCTAAATGTTCCTTTCTGAAATTAGGATTAGTCTCTTTTGCACATGTACACATTGGAAGTTGATTAGAAAATTCCAGTGTTTGAGAGTTGAACATTTCTAACTTTGACTACCTATGCTACCAGACTATCGTCCTAGTTACTTGAACATCAGTAAATTAGGCTTACTAAATAACCTACTGCTAATAACTTGACTTCAAAATGTTTTTCTTTATAGTTGAGGATCAGATTATCTAGTTGGGCTGCAGAATTACAGATTTACAATTGCTGGGCAAGTGAAGTTAGCTACGAAGAGGAATATATGAGGAGACCCAGAGTGCAGGTCATGTGATTACATGGGAGACATGGACCCTTCAGCCAGCCAACACTCACTAGACCATTAAAGCACTGATGAGCACCCTTAAATAGATCTTAGCAGGGCAACTCAGGGAGTAGTATTGCTCAGTCGACTGATTCTAGTTTTAGCTGTCATAAGAATCTCTGAAGCAATTTCAATAAATAAGAGCAGAAAAAAATAGGGAGGGAAAGTATATATCCACTTTCACTATAAAATATATTCATGCCATTTTAAAAAGTAGTGTAAAGATGTAAATATTATGGTTCACATGATCCTATTTACCTCTTCAAGAGAATAGTAGAAACAAGTTTGTAGCATAGAAATCTGGAATTTTCTAGTCAACCACTTTCCTTAGCCAATTTGCATGTGTGCTACAAGTATGAAATTTCACATGAAGGTTTTTGAGCTAAAGACAAATCTGGACACAAAAGTGCTCTACATTTCAATACACTGCTGTGTCTATATGGATGGACAACTGAAGCATAATGTGGCAATCCAATCATTTACTGTACCCTGAAGATCAGTACTGATTATGGTCAGGAAATTGCTTTTGGGTCCTTCTGGCTGAAAAATTGATCCATGCGTCATGCATAGGTTGTCTCACAGCATCTTACTGTTAAAATGAAAAAATAAAAGAAACTAGGCAACTAAAGCTTTGTTTAGAATGAAAAGCTTCAGTGAATCTGAGCACTTAAATGTTGTTATGCTTTCCTTCCTTCCTCCTCTAAATTCTTGTGCTTTTCAAATTAAACAACAGTGAGCCTCAGGCCATGTGCTACATTGAAACGTCCAACTTAGATGGTGAAACAAACTTGAAAATCAGACAGGTAAGCTCTCATGCAGGTCATATAATTATTGCTGTTTTATTACATGAAATTAAAAACTTTATTTCTTAGTGCTACTGTCTTGAATTTAAGTCATTTGTTTTGTCCAGTTGCAAATATATTCTCCTTTAGCCACTATCAAAAACATTTATTAACTAGTATCATTAAGTATCATGGAAGACTTAAATTGACTTACATGATTTAATATACTGAATCATGAAGATAGATTTTTAATAGTATGTTCAAGTTTATATACTAGCTAATGAGTAATAACAGTAGTTCTAAGTGTTCTTCACATGTGTTAGTTGATTTCTTTTCCCTGTCACCTGATCTGAATTATTATTTGGCTTATTTAGATTTCTTTATTTACTTCTCATTCCACCCCTAATAGAAAGTCATTATAGATTTTTATTTTTAGAGATTTTAAAGACACTTTTCAAAATGTATCACCTTGAGTTGCAGCTGAAAAGTGAAATGACAGGTGGGCAGAATGGGATGTGGTAGGAGGTCCTCACAGAAACCAGAGTGAAGAACTATTTTGAAGTTTTTCTTCTCAGTAGAGTCAAAGAAAAGAAACAACTAAGCTCTCTCAGCTTAGATTCAACTTATTTTTCATCCCCTTTCTGACATTCAGCAGACAGATTTGGATTCTTCAATGCTAAATAATTGTATTTGACAGAGATTGTATGAAGAGTAGAATTTCTTATAAAATAGTGGTACTCTTAGATCTTAAAACCTAAATGAACTAAGAATCCTTATTTCTCACACACTTATTTAATGCACTCTTTGCTTATTTAAAACTTTCAAAACAGGGTTTGCCAGCAACATCAGACATAAAAGATATAGAGAACTTGATGCAAATCTCTGGCAGAATCGAGTGTGAAAGTCCAAACAGACATCTTTACGATTTTGTTGGGAACATAAGGCTTAATGGAAATAGGTATGTAAAATCAGTCTTTATAAAAATGCCAAATTGTCTATTTAGCATGTAATGCTGAGTGACTTCCAAGTCCACATACATCTTTTGTTGTTCCCCAGGCCTTATGTCTGAGAAACTTTTTCTTAAACATTTACACACGGCTTCTACCCAAGAGTCCTTTTGTAAAAATGCTGTATCTTAACCCTGTCCACCTGGTATAAAAGGAGACTTCCTTTGGATTCCTGCCAACTGGCAGCTGGATGTTTGCAGGACTATGGCACATTGTTTTGTAACTTATTCTTTAATCAGAGTGTTGATGTTATAGGATAAATTGTGCATTCTCTGTGGTCTGGGTCCTTTCTTGTAATCTCTAGATGTTTCAAGGAGTTCACACTCTATCCCAAAAAAGCACATTCACTTTCTAGGTTGTATTTTCATCTGTCGTCATCTTTTTACTGTTACTTCTTCCTGGTTTTCTACCCTTCCTCTCCTACCTCTTCCCAGATTCCTGCAACAGTACTTATTAAGCAACAGTACTTAATAACAGTACTTATTAAGGAAACAGCAGTGAACAAAGCAAACACATATGCCAGCCTTTGTGAACTTGCCTTTTTACAGTAAGGGCACAAACAGACAAACAATGAAAAATAAAATTTAATGCAATGTTAGAAAGTGTTAAATGCTTTGGGGAAAAGTAGCATTCAGTAAAGAAGACTGAGAGACCTTAGGAGTGAATTACTTTTAGTAATTGTGCTCTCAGTCTCACTGGGAAAATCACGTTTGAACAAAAGTGAGAAGGAGGTGAAGAAGTTATTCATTTGAAGTTATTCATGTGAGTGTTGCAGGAGTCCAGTCTTTCCATGAGCATATGGTTATAGATTAATGATATATTTTTATAAGTATTCCTTTGTAATCTGATATCCTTAACTGGATAGTTTCCGTTTCTCATCAGTTCCCCCACCAAATTGATGCCAAGCAAATCCATGCAAATTCAAGGAGAAACTGCATGATGGAACCAAGAATTAGGGTACAGATAGAATTCATAAATTATGCTTTAGTTTACATGAAAGTTGAAAAGAGATTCTCAATACCTTTCTGTTTGTAGTACAGTTGACTTTATAGTGTTAGCCCAGAAATCTTAGAGTCCCTGTGCTTGACATAAATGTATTTTATTTCCTTTAAGAATAAAGGTCATGGTTTAATGCCCGGAGTTTGGATTTCCATATGAAAACTAAAAACTTACAATTTTGACCTTGTAACTGAAAGTTATATTTTTTAGTTTTTGTAGGATTTATACCTTATTTCAGTCTCACAAATGCTGAGGGTAGAGAACATTTAAGGAATTGTTAACTCATATATACATCAGAACATTTTCCAGCAACTTCCTAAAAGCAGTCTGGATGGCTGCTTTTGTCCTGAGTCCCCTTCCAGCACTGACATATGCCCCAAATTTTGAGACCTCACAAGATGGTTCTTTTCTAAATTAGAATACATGGTTTCTTGAAGATTTACTCATTTAAATGGAGGGCTGAGGGAATGTTATTACCCACTCATCTGGACTGATTTTACCTGAGTTATTAGCATTTGTACAGTTTCAGAAATAAGGTTCAAGAGTTAGCCAGCTAGTGGCCTAAGATATTTGCCTGAGCATAGAAGCCACAAGACATGACAGTTCAGTCTCACTTTACCTCCTCTGACAAGTTCTATTTTCTCTGGAAACTTCTTGAAATGGTTCCTTTTTCTTGGAATGTCTAGATGTATTTTTCTTTATATTTGATTTCTTCTTTTTTTTTTTCTTACCAAAATAAAGTGGTGATAGGAATCCCTGAGCTATTAAATTTTGTATTGGCTATTCCCATCAAGACTAGATTACACCTGTGCCCTTCTGATCTATGTACAAGATTATATCAACCTCCCCTAGTGGATAGCATCACTAACCTTCCAAAAAAAAAATCTCAGGTTGACCCTTATTCAAAAAAAGTATGACTTAAATCATATGAAATAAATAGCCCCAATAAACTCTCAACCAGATGGGTGTTTGACTTGCCCTAGAGATTTTAAAATCAGAATCATGTCTCTGGAAGGTTGGGATGATAATGCAAGTATATGATGACATCTGTGTATTGTCTTACCTTACATACACTTCACTATACAAAAAGCTATTTTTAACTTTGTAAAGGATAACAGATTCCCTGAACTTAGCACCTTCAAAATCTCAGAACCTGAATAGACTGACTAAAAATGAACAGAATTTTAAATAGGTTTGAAGTTAGTCTTTGAGTTCTAAAACAGTACTTACTATTTTGGATAGTGAAGTTGTAGGAAATGACTGATTTGATGTTAAGGAGAAAGAACTTAAATGCTCCCCTCCAGCTGTCCTTGTGTCAGAAAAATATTCCTATGGGTAGGAAAATTATTTCTTTTCTAAAAATAAAGTAAATGTGAGAAGGGTTATTTTAACAACAGAAACTTTGTTGGAGCTATATGGTGGCAATAGCGTCTCTGTGTTTCTAATGTCAGCATAATCTGTCACAGCACTGTTCCCCTGGGAGCAGATCAGATTCTTCTTCGAGGCGCTCAGTTGCGAAATACACAGTGGGTTCATGGAATAGTTGTCTACACTGGACATGACACCAAGCTGATGCAGGTAGGATTTTATCTATATAAACCTCTGGTGCTGAGTCTTATGAAAATGTGCTCTTTGTAGCTCTCAGTATTGTAATCTCAGAAACGGCAGACCATCTGTTGCAGATTCTGGAGCCCCCTGAGTGCATTCAGAATCTTGGTCTGCAGTTAGTGAGGTTATGAAATGGCTACCTGCTCCCATTTCATAACCTGAAAGTCACCAGGATCACCCAAAGCCTCCGCTCTCAATAATTCTGTAATTATTTGCCCAATAAGTGCTGGACAGCGTTTACTGACTATTGCAAAGATTCATACAAGTCATCCATGCCGCAGTGAGTGCTCTGCATTAAAGTACTTGCTTTATGATTTTATTTTAATGCAGTGATCAATTTTTAGAGCTTTTTTTCATGAAATTAAAAGAAAAAACTTATGAATGAAGCGTTAGCTACTTTTCCACTGCATGTTTATATGAAACCATTTTAAATTGGTTTTAACCCCAACATTTGTAACTGGGATTAGTATTTGTAGAAATAGTACTTGCAAATGCCTGTGAACAGTCCCTCACTACAATGCTATATTTTTGGTGGTCAATGGGAAACTTAGTTTTCCCACCAGGTGTAGGAAACTTAGTTTTAAAATGTTATATAGAAATCTTCTCATAGGGCTGATAATTTTAGACATTGTAGATGCACGAAAATCAGTAAGCAGTTTCTGCAGTTAATGACTCCACCACTCCCTATTTTATGAATTCTAGAAATTGCCGTTTTGTGTCCATCCGTTTTGTGATGCTTGGTTAGCAAAGACACTTCACATATCATTTTTCTATCATTAAATAGTACTGCAGAAACTTACCTCTGTTATATTCTGTAGCCAAATCTACTTAGATTGCTGTTGTGTTGTTGTGTGAAATGTTTACTAAATGCCATCAGGAATGTGGAAACCAGAATTGTCTTCATACTTTGCAGTTTCCAGCTGTATAGCTTTGTGTATATAGATCTGTGCGTCTGCATCTTCCAGAGCTGATAATGCTAGCTACTTTTCATCCACCCTATTTACTTCGAGTCAAGTAATCCATTGTTTAGCTTACTTGCCATAATGCCAAAGCTATGTCTGAAAAGTAACATCCTTCTCTCACTCTTATTGGTTTTTTGTCCTAGAAAAAGACTTAAGTGGTATAGTTGCCTTAGAAAAAAACTGTTAACCAATGGCAGCCCATAACATCTATGATTATTTTCTGTTTAATTTTAATGCATCTACCATTGTCTAGATTTTGCATTTGACTGAATTTGTCATCCTATCAAAATACGGGAAACATTACTAAGTCCTTTCTTACCTGTTGTATTATTCCTCTTGTTTCTTTTTACAGAATTCAACAAGTCCACCACTTAAACTCTCAAATGTGGAACGGATAACAAATGTACAAATATTGATTTTATTTTGTATCTTAATTGCCATGTCTCTTGTCTGTTCTGTGGGCTCCGCCATTTGGAATAGAAGGCATTCTGGAAAGGACTGGTATCTCAATTTAAACTGTAAGAACAAACTGCTTATGGCACTTATTTTCATCTCTTAATAAAAATTTATTTATTTTATAAATGACCTTCAAATTTCCAAATTATTTCTAAAAAGAACACCTGTTGCCAATATAGCTGGGCTTTTAATCCTTTCAAGATTCTAAAATTTCACAAACCTTGAAAAGTGGGTACTCGAATAAAAAGTGGCATTTTCTTAATTACCTTTATGTTATTGTTTAAAAAATATTTTATTACAGGTGGTTAGATGGATATGTGGTTAAGAAAAAGCAGATTGAACATGTATCAAAGGTGAAATATGCATTTAAGTGCTAAAATATACTTAATATTTATTAAATTTATTTTTTATTTATTCCAACATTTAAAATATAAGCAGATATACATTTAAAGCACCAAAATTTAGTTTGCAAGCTTTTAAATATTTAAATTGAATGTATCTTTAACTCATGAATGTAGTGAATTCTGTGTTAGTAGTTATCTTGTCCTAGGGGAAGTGCTCTTGTTTCCTATTGGAGCCTTTAACTTTTTATTATTGTAGGACTAATATGCCAATACTGAATATTTCTAGGAAGTAAATTTGTTATTCCTATTGGTGAATACTTAACTAGTAAATAATTTCTAAGTATGAAGAAAAATCTAGTAAAATTTTATAGCAAAAATGATTTTTTTCTATTTATTAAGGTTAGCAGCTGTTTCAGATATTTACTAACAGTCATTGATTTGCTATTTCAACAATGGAACTGTTGCTATTACTAACAGATTGTTTCTTCATGTACTGTGTATCTATGATGGCTATTGTTTTATTTTCATTATCCAGAGGAAAAAATATAATTTACATAGATTTGAGTTTTGCAGAGTTCAGTCCTATTTTGTTTTTACTACTGACTTGTTTTTATTATTTGGATTGTTTGGTTGGTGTTATTTTGTTTTCTTCTAAAGCATGCTTTAAATTAAAAATTCTGTGTGTGTGTGTGTGTGTGTGTGTGTTTCCAATTGAGGTTTTACACTTAGAAGCCCTTAGTCATATCCCTAATAATTGTAAACTTTCTGCAAGGCAAAGGATTTTAAATATTTAATAGTACTTTTACTTTCTGGAACCATTATGCAGTTCCTAATAGAATTCACAACATAATTAACATAGGTAATGCAATTTCATCTTGAAGAATGTATTTGGAAATAAAGATATTAGCACAGTGTTCCTCCAAAACCTTCTACATATACTGTATATTATGGAAAACTCTTATTATGCTAAAGTGTTGCAGTTAGTGCAAATATAGTGTAAAACTGTAAATGACTTTATTCCCACCTTCCCCAACAGATGGTGGCGCTAATAATTTTGGACTGAATTTCTTGACCTTCATCATCCTTTTCAACAATCTGATTCCTATCAGCTTGCTGGTTACATTAGAAGTGGTAAAATTTACCCAGGCATACTTCATAAATTGGGTAAATATAAATTATTATCACAATCTGTCCAAACATAAATTTTGTCTTTTTTCCTGATAGTCTTTTGACCTCTTAGAAAAACAGTTTAATTTTACCTTATCTTTATTGACTATGTCATGATATTTCAAGATAATTTTGAGCCTAATATAACTACAATTAAGTTTAACATCAGAATCACAGAAGTATACAAATGAAATGTCCTAGGTCTCTTGCTCCAGAAACTAAATTACAAGTGGTATTGGAGTGGAGCTGGGAGGGTCACAGAGTTAGGATGAAAGTATCTGAAATGGACTTCTAGTTCTATAACTTGATGTGTGAAATTTTCTAAGTCACTTGACTCTTTCCTTAGTGTTTGCTTTTAATAAAATATGTTACTTTCCCTCAGTTTTATTTTTACTGCTGTTAAAATTAATGAACTTGTGTAAATTAAGTAAATGAGCATATCTAATCTGCCAATACGTTTTGTTTTTCTCTTTTGAAATATTGATATTATCTTTTGCTGTTTCTGTCTTTTAAGTCTTTTCATATGAACAATATTGGAATTTTGTAAAATGCAACTGATTAATACTCTTACAACTTTTATGTGCCCTGGTAAATGCTTGACCTCAAGTGTGAATCTCTAGTTCTTTGGTAAAAGATCCATAAAATTTGGTTTAGAAATCTAAACTGAATGGCAGGCAAAGCTCATTTCATGTAGAATATATGTTGCTGAAAAACAGTATAATAAATAACACTGTTATAAATACAGTTAAAACTTATTGAACATTGCCTGTGTAAGAATAATAAGGTAGCTCACTGTGAAAAGCAAATAAGAAATCACTATTTTTTATTTTTTAATTTCAAAAATATTTGCTTCAAATAACTGTGTAATTTAGTGCTGGATGAATCCAGCAGGCATTTGCTTTTCAATCACCTTTCTAGTAAAGTGAGATCTTCTAATACTCTAGACAGGTCTTTCTCTATAAGCACTTCTCCTTTATGTGAAGTGGGATTAGTGCCTCTCTCCCTTTGAGTTTGGTGCTGCCCAATACTACTATGAAAATGTTTCGGAATGAAAGTCTTGTAGAATGTTTGAACTCAGCACGTCAAGTTTATTCTTCTTTCACATCTTCCTCCCCTGCAACAAACCCATCTCCCTGTTTTTTGCTTTTGACATGATTCCCAGTGTGATCCACATTCTAGTCATATTGGCCAGTTGTTTGATATCCCCCATAAAATCGGGTGTCTACCGCTCAACAAGCTTTTTCAGAACAGTCAGTGATCAGTCAGTCTGAAGTACAGAAATGGAAAAGATCAGATTTAACTTTTTAATTTGACATGTGAAAATAAATATGCTACAATCCTGAATCGTCAACGAAATGTTTTTCTACAGTAAAAATTAAGTATTATAGCTTTAATAGAATGATTTGTAGGTGCATACCATTATAAAGTAGTAGCAAAATTATATCTTTTTCTGGTTTGAGTTATGGAACATACCCTCATTTTCAAGTAAATAAGATGCAAGTAACTTGATCAAGAAAATACACCAGGTAGAATCCCTTAGCTACTTTTTTACAAGGATTTAAAGTTTTAAAAAAATGATCATTGTTTTATTGCTGTTTTTTTAGCTCATGTTATTAAGTGCTTGGAAACATTTTACATTATCTTATTTAATCTTTATATAACAGTCAACATATGAAACCTAGATTGCCTCATTCTAGAGACATTTACCTTACTGTTTTGTGCTTATTATGAAAAGTCATATTCTATATCAAACTCTTTTCAAGGAAATCAAGTAAAAATGGAATATGGGTAACAAGAAGTGACAGTGGTTACATATGTAGTTCACCGGTTAAATAAAGCTTCACTTATTCTCTTGTTAGCATTGTATCCAATGACTTCTTTTATATATCTATTTTTTAAAGGATCTTGACATGCACTATGAACCCACAGACACTGCTGCTATGGCTCGAACATCTAATCTAAATGAGGAGCTTGGCCAGGTAAGCTAATTTTTTTTTCACTGTCTTAATTTAGAATCAGGTTTTGTGTAACTTCTGCCATTCATGGCTATTTCAGATGAATTGATAGTTCCTGATTTTTCATTATTTGAATAATTTGTATTAACTACCTGTTAGTACATAGCTATTAATTTTCACTTTTAGAAAGTGATGTTTTTAAAACGATCTAAAGCTTATTTTGCTAGCAAGATAAAGTATTACCATGAGGGATCTACTTCAGCAAATCTGTCAAGTATTACAATTGACTGTTCTAAATGTGAAACCTCAGTATTAAAATTTTCTATAGCTTTTGACCAGAAAGGAAGTTAAACTTGATCAATGAATTTGTTTAAATGTAAGTATAATAGTAATCAAACAAGAATCATATATGTATAACTCATTTTATTTCCACATATGTATATGTCTACAATACATTATTCTGAGAAAAAAAATATTTTTGTACTATTTTTTGCTAACTCTTACTATAAAAAATTGAATTTTGGTGAGAATAATCTTTTTTCTTAGCTTTTCAGATGTTACATGAAGTTAACCACACAAAGCTATTAATAAATTTCTAATTGTCATGTTCAGAAATGTTGATGTTTTGTGTTAATTATGGTAAGTGACACACACTAGTGGAAATCCCATCCATGTAAGGCAGATTTCTATGTAACTACTTTTTTGAATATCTTGATAGCCTTTAGTGTTCATATCTAAAATGATCCATTACTAAAACTTTAAAAATGACAGCCAAATATATTCCTTAATATTTGGAGCAGGAAATAGTAACATTCATTGTACCCCTTGCAATGTATCAAAACTGACAAAAAGTTTAATTTCAGGGACTTTTCCCTCTCTAGGATCTGGCATTAAAAAAAAAAAAAACCCTCTGGAGTTTTAATAAGACTCTGAACCCTTTTTAGGTAAAATACATATTTTCTGACAAGACTGGTACCCTGACTTGCAATGTGATGCAGTTTAAGAAGTGCACCATAGCTGGAGTTGCTTATGGGTGAGTAATTCCCCTTTAACTGGGAAGTGAAATACATGTTGAATTAGTGCTAATAGTTTGGCACATTTGGGGAATTCTTATTAGGGGAGGTTTTTTTGTTTTGTTTTTAATCTAAGCAGCAGAGCTATTTTAAATTCAGCATATATGCACCTACAATATATAGTTTGGTATTTTTTATTTGGAATTAACCTCTGAGGTAGGGTCTCTACCTAGTAATCCCTCTACTTAGAGTTACTAAAGGTTTCTGTCTGGCTCTGGTCTAAGATACAAATACACTTACGACTGTCTTGCCATAAAGTTATTAGAGTATTGCTTGTGTATGATAAGAACATACAGTCTGTGCTTGGGCAGTTTTCAAGCTATATAATCATTTAAGGGTTAGCCCTTTGATTTGTTTTTTATCATATTTCTTCTTTGAAGTCTAAATTTGTAATAGCAGGAAGGAGGTAGGAACAGGAAATTTATATCAGAGGTGATAATGAATACTATCAAATATTGATCAGGCTTTTAATTCCCTTTAGAATGTACTTATTTGACACAACTAACTTCTTACTTCCACGTATGCTTGCCTTTTAACTGCCTTCCTTTTAAGGCTGAACATGAGAAAATTATTTCTACTTTTCTTTAAAAAAGATGTAATCAAAAGATAAAACACCCTTATATTTAATTCACAGTGACATATTATTAAATTTTCCAACTATTTTTATATACAAATAAGATTTTGATTCATACCCATCTCCCAGCCATACCCACATGGCCTTCGCTTAGTGAGGTTTCTGAATTGTCTCTACTCTTCCACTCCATACAGTAAATGACTATAAAAAGAGTATATTGGATTTTCAAAATGCTTTACTTAAAATAATTTTTTAAAAAATTATAAAGAACCATTTGGTAGAAAAAAATTGTGGAAAATGTGGGTACTCCTATACACAGGACCCATAAAAAGAAATCAGTGGAGGCAAATATCCTTGTTCTCTGGGATAGCAGAGGGTGTGGCCAAAAATGAATTCATATTGTGTGTGTAAAAACCAAAGAGATATTTTATGGAATGGCTTTTCACACTGTAAGGACAAGATGTTAGTTTAAGTAGCATTCTTATGTTTCCAGGATTGGATGCCATTTTGCCACTTAAGCCTATCTGTAGATTTCTTTCAACAAAAGAGACTCTCCCCACTCCCTCTCACCCACCTTGTCCCCCCCAAATTGCTGCAGGTCAGCTGCAAGAGCATGCATGGTGCATTTGGGTTTTGCTGTATTGTATTTCTTTATTCTATTCTTTATTCTTTATTAACCCAGGCAAAAGAAAGAACGTCTGATTGTGATTTTAGCATTTGTTGTATTATATTGCTGACAGATTTCTGTAACTTTTTGGGTTTTTTTAATATACATTCTACATTAATTCATAAATGTTCTTTGTAATGTGATTTTTTTTTTGACAATTGACTTTTGTACTTGTCTGGTTTCTAATTGAAATGCAAGTTTTTCAAACTACCATTATTGATTGTGAGCTTATGAGAACACTAAGCTAAAATACTACCAGATTTCAGTTTTTTCTTACTCACGGACCAAGCCCTTAAACACGACAGGCATCAGCCCTAAAAAGCACCGTTCTCCCTGTGCTATGAGTGAGTGCCATGGCCATTACCAACTGCATTATGATGAGAGAGTGGTTCCTAAACTGGTAAATATTGTAGTAAATATTATACTATATTTATTGTGGTAAATATAGTAGTTATTTAGAGATAAGTATTATTTTAGCTTAAGTGTCCAGTAAAACAAATTTCCTCTTGGAAAATAACACTTCTCAAATTAAATTGTAGTCATATGACATAAATTCTAGTTGTAACATTTTCAAATATTTTAAACTTTTTAAACATTGATGGTGAAACCAGAGGATTCCTAGGTTCTTATTCAAATATAAAACTCTGATATGTTCAGAAATTAAAAAAAAAACAGGCTTTTCTTTATTTGCAAATTTTAACTGTTTCAACAGAAATGTGTTTCTTCTTTGGATGATATGTACTCAAGAATACTAGATGTCTGATTTAGAGAAGCTAGTTATTATGGCTTCCAGTCATTATATATAGATGATACATAATGACTTTTAGGATTCTTAGCCTTGAGTGAGTTTTTATTAATGTGTCTTCTCTCATCCTGAAGACAGTTGAATTGCCAGCATTGTAGCAGGCTTATATATCAAGGCTTTGGAGAAACAATGAAGTTTCCAACTGCTCAGGTATTTGCAGTAGGAAACAGGACATTGTTACTTAATTTCATTCAACTCAACAGAAAAAGACATTGCTGAACCACCTTTCTATGGGCACTTAATTTGGAGACTCTTGTTATAGGAACCCTGAAAGGAAAATAACATTGTCTTAGGATACCATTTGCCCCACAGCAATATTTAAGACTTATTTTATATGGGGAACTTTCATGTACATATACTTCCAGCAAAACCATGGTATTTATCCTCCCAGAAAATGTCAAAACAAAGAATAACACAAACTTTCATATATTAGCAAATGTTTTGGGGAAATAATTTCACAGCCAATTAAGCATTTTTAAGATAGAATAAAACCTAGTTTTGGCCTACACAAGTCAAAGTGAGTTCTGTTGACCTCTATCAGTTTGAAGGATAGGAGTCAAAGTCCAGTAGAGTACTGGCTCAACTATGTATCCTATAGGTATCTAGGATAGTACCTTTAGCAGTATGTCAACATTTAAAACAGTGCTTCGGAAGTTTTCTCTCATTTCATATAACCTGTGCCTCGCATTGTATTCATGATTAGTTTTAACAACTATTAGTTTACAGATTTGTACATTATTTTATTTTATAGAGATCAACTTCATAAAAGATGCCACTGTGTTTAAACTTATTAGACAGTTCCATTAGGTTAACTAAATGTAAATGAATTGTGATGCAATTTACAAATTTAACTCATTACAAACTATAAATTCTAGACCTAAACATTTGTTAAAGTGCTGTTTCAGCAAATGATTTTCTATTGGGAACAAGTCAGTTTTATCACATTTTCTTGAATACCAGAAATAGGTAAATGAGCTGTTCCCTTACTAGGTGGCTAGGATTCTCAATACAGTCCAAACGGTGGACTACCATTCAAAATATCATCTGTTAATAATTTCAACGTTACTACTAGAATGAGTTGATGCTATGTGAGGCTAACATGCTATGATCCCTAAAGTTTGGGGGAAAAAAGTTGCATCAAGCAAATTAAACAGCTTTTTGTGGGGCAAGATATTTAATTAGTATTAAACATTTTGTTGATATTTTCCGTTTAAGTGAAAAATGAAGGTCCATAAAAATGACTTTTACTTATGTAAATATAGTATGTGGATAAATATCTTTACTTGATGTTTGTTAGCAATATATTTGCTGAAATTATCAGCTACTTTTTGAAAACTGAGAAGATATGCACCATGATAAACCTCTTAATTATCATACTGTTTAACTACAAGTTCTAGATAATAACCAAAAATTCATGTTATTGCTGGCTATGACTGGTGGTAAACACCCCTCATTTGTTTATTCACATATCCCAACAAATGTTCATTTCCTTCTAGATGACAGGCATATACAGATCAGTAAAACGTCACATATTCTTATCTTCCTAAAGTCTGTAGCCCAATTGAGGATTCATGGAGGTTTAATAATTCAGCAAATAGAAGATATAACACAATACAAAGATCTATGTGATTCTGCAGTGAGGTTTGATCTAACCAGGGAGGTCAGGGACTGCTCTCTGAGAAAGGGATTTTGACTGAGATCTAAGAATGAAATTCAGTGAAGTAGTCACCAGGCAGATCAAACAGCACTGGCATGCCACAAAGATGAATAATCAGACAACTGATACATACCAGAGTTACTGAAACAGCAATCTCAGGATCCATAGCGGTGAAAGTGGTGGACTACAGCTCACCACACTAAAGAGTGCTCAAATCTGCCAGAGCTGCAGCAGGCTTGGAGAGATGACCCTGGGCCCTGAGCTCTCTGCTTATAAGATGCATGCCTTGAGAAGCACAGTTCCCTGACCTATTGAGGAACTATATTGTACACCGACTGGAGCCCTTGGGAGAATGTTGACACAGTGCTTAGGTAGATAAGAGAATTGTATCTAAAAGGAACTGACTGTTGTGGTTGGGGCGAAGAGAATAGATACTTCACTGGGGTTCAGTTAAGTGCTTTGGAGTTGCAAAGGTGCCTTGGAATGATAAGGTCCCTATCACAGCCACTTTGCTGGAAGGGTAAAAGAGTGGGGTGGCAATTTAGGGAGAGAAAGGATTCCATGAGTTGTCAGTGAATTTTATTGAGTATTTGTCAAAAATAAAACTGTTTAAACTCTACATTTAAAAGAAAAAATATTGAGTGTTCATATATAATGAAGAAAAATGAGAGATAAGAAAATCAGTGCTAGTTGTTAAGAGAGTTGATCTTAACACAAACAAAAAAATGGTAATTTTGTGATGGGATGGAAGTGTTAGCTAAGTCTCTAGTAATTATTTTCTTATATATAAATGTGTCATTCTTAAATACAATAATACGTGTAAAGCTGGGAAAAAATCTTGACTCTTGTTTTATGCCATGTGCCACTCTCTCTGAGTACATGACTAGTTTGTTGAAACAGAAGCTATGTGTCAATCAAGATTTTTCTAGTACTTAAATGAACTAATGAGTGGAATTAAAGTATTGATAGCATATTTTTCTCTTTTATATAGCAAATTGTTTAATAAGTATATTATGGCTTATGTGAAACTTTTTGAGTATTAGCTAATCTTTTAAAATATGGGTCCATTTAATTATTCAAACATAATTAACTTTTACTTTAATATAATCCTTTAAGCACCACCCCTCATGGTAGTGGAATTTACCTCCAACGTGTGCCCAGCCAATTTTATCAGTATGAATATTTGTTCTTAGTTATTAGTGTGTTAGTTTCATTAAAATACTTTCTTCTGGCTAATGCAACATGGGATTAATTTTCTCTTGACTTTAAGTGTGTAATTAAACTGCTAAGTTCAAGTGTTTCCTACTGAATTTGAATTTTATATGTTTCATGATAAAGAGGCAAGTTGATTGTCCCATTAAAGAACAACCTTGTAAACCTGCTTGATTATCATAACCCCTCATGTTCTACTTAGTATACTAACTGCCATTCTTTCAGAATCAACTAAAAGTTCATCATCTAACTTTTCGAGAGCCATCTTTCTGTGTTTCCTTATTCCTTCTTTTATTTCCAGCCTTTTTGTGATTATTTTTTCCTTTCTATTCCTCTTCTTGCTTTCTGAAGTCATGTCCCTGAACCCGAGGATTATGGCTGCTCTCCTGATGAATGGTAAGCAGCATGCACCTGTCTGTCTCATTGATTCCTTTGAAAGGCTTGCATTTTATTATTTTTGTTTTGTTAGAAACCCTTCACTACTTTGGAGGGGAAGCCTTCTTGCTCAAATAAGGTGGCAATGGTGTAAAGAAGATATTTCTTGAAAATATCTTTAAATCTTGATTTCCTACTAAAACAAACAGTTGTTTTGTAAATATTCATTTGGAAGTATGTGCTTTATCTACAGTAAAGTTTGTAGTGATCAACATGGAGTCCCAGGGCCTGGAAGACCAGATTTCAGTCATAGCTAGGCCCTTCCTTGTGTTTTTAGCTCAGCACTGCCACCTTCTGCTGTTTATAGTCAACACAGCTATAAAATGATGGCTCCCAAAATGCACCCAAGCGGTGGGAATTTTATTAATTCACTAAATCTGTTTGAAGATTAGAAAATGAACACTTTCAAATAAAATTTGAAGTAATTATTCTACTAAGGACTAGAGTTAACTTAAGTATAATTAATTGTAGAACTATCTTTAATAGTTCTACATCGTAAATTTCAATGCTATTTAAACTTTTTAAACTCTACATTTAAAAGAAAAAATATTGAGTATTCATATTTGTTTAAATATTTCCATGATATATTGTGATTTTAAGGCAAATAAATTTCAGAAAACAGATTTCTTTAAAGCTGGTAACTGTAGAAAATACTGTGGTCTTCCAGTGTTTTTTGTTTTTTTGTTTGTTTTTTCAGTTTGCTCATGTGTTGCATGAACAAGTCATATGCATGGAAACTAGTAATATACCACTTAACAGTTTTCAAGTTTCAGTTTATTTCAATAAAGGGGCAGTTGACCCCCATACCTTCAGTTAATGGCAAAGGCCCTGTTTGGTGCATATGACAGCAATGAGCCATCACATTTTTGCCAATAGCCTAGAGTTCATGTATCGCCGTAAACAAATGACTGTTTAATGTTTTTAAAGTTTAACAAAACATCTTAACTGTTGACAGATAATTCAAGTTTGATGGTGTAACTGTTTCCTTTCATTTAGTCCTTTGACAATTTTTAATTTGTAAAAATTTAATTTGACAACAGCTATTTTTACTATCTTTTTTTGCTGCTTTTCTATAACATTAACATAATTCTAGTAATTTTAAACTCTTGACTAGTATAGACTTAATGAACATTTTTATGAGATAATTTATTCCAAAAAGGAGGAAGTTACCTTCATCATATCTATTTTTAAGGTGAGATGAAAATGTTCAGAATAATTTTTTTATTTATTCAGGTCATTTAAAATCGCTTACTTTTTAACATAGAGGATACTTCATTATGTTGTCATGTTGAAATGACAAAATTCTATTTTGTCTAGTTTAATAAGTTCTTTTTATAAAATACCCCTTGGAAGAGTTTCTCATTCGATATTTTAAATTGGATAATAAAAGATAATGCAAGCTCTTTCATAAAGTGTACAGCTTCTGTTCAGTTACATAAAAACTTAAGATATCAATATTTTTTTAATTAATTATACAGAAGGATTTTGTCACCTCTGTATTGGAGTGAACTTTATTTTAAACATTTGCTTGGATACCCCGTTTGTAAGTTACCTTGAGGCCTGCAAAGATGATAGAACACATATTTCTTGAGCTTCTTTTGTATCCTCATTCCTATGCAATAGTTGAAGGTGCAGAATTTAGGTTCTGACCACCCAAGGTTATATCCTGATCCTACTGATTGCACTTGAACCAGTTGCATGTATTCACATGTCCTCATCTGGTAATTTCTCTGTTCACATGTCCTCGTCTGGTAAAATGTGGACACCATAGGGAGGCTGTGGAGATTAAATGAGTTGAGTTTTTAAAGTGCATTGATAGTGTCTAAAAGGACTAGGTTCATAGAAAGTTGTGGTGTCACTCACCTACCCACATATGACAAGTTGTGATTGACATGACCATTTTAAAGATTCTGAAATTTAGGCAAAGAATCACTTGCCTCAAACTGCCCAGCTAGTAAATATGGGAGCCAGTTAAACCCTTACACAGCTCACTATAGTAGCTGCTGGTTATATTACATCGTATAGGTTTTGAAGTTTAAATAATATATGCTTGTCTAGGACACAGCAACTTCAAAGTAATTTTGTTTGTCTTTGTTTCTTGTTTAGTTAAGGTAGCAATAACAGGTAAAAATTCAGCTGATAAGCATGGGGGTAGGGGAGTTGGAGGGGCACAGCTTGGCACATTCACAAATCTGTCATAAGCCCAAAGTCACACAAGTGATTTCATGTTGCAATGAAATGAAGATCAGAAGTGTGACTCTGGATGAATCCAGTATTTCAGGAGCCTGAACACATCATGCTGCTGGCCTCCCAGAGTGAACTGGAGCATGCAGATGATCATACAAATCCAAAGCCTGAAAGTGCATCCCTATCTGATTGTCAACATCTTAATCTTTCAGTGAGATGTTCAAGTTCGGATATAAAATCTGTGGCCTGTATATATTTTTCTACCCTATTGAACTGTAGTGACCACAAAATATCAAGTTAAAAAACATGTAATATTTAACATATAAATGTATGTTGATGATTTTACATATTTACATTTAGTCAAGTTTGAAAGTAAACTTATAATAGCCCTTTAATACTTACTGTCTTGACTTTAAAGATAATTCGATGATGTTTGACATCTACGTGTTAAATAAGTTAATATATGTAGATTATAGAGAGAAAATCATTTTCCAACATATATAGTTTATAGAGGAAAACATTTCCCAAACAACCATTTATTCCATAATTAATACAATTTCCCAGTTATTACCAAGTATTCATTCCTAGCACATAACCTTATAGGTTATGTTGTTTTCTATTAAAAAATCCATCATTCTCTAGACAGTAGCAATATTGGAGGAAATTTCTGGTTATTTTCACCATCTGTGTAACCCTAAGATGTGGTTTCTTTCCAAAACTATATATTTCCATAACCATTTTTTCTTTTTGTGAAAAATTTCAAGTATAAATCAAAGTAGGTTGATATACCTATCTGCTTACTTCAATATTGTGTGCTCAAGGCTAATTTCAATTCATTTATACCTATCCCCCAATATTACATTGAAGCAAACTCCAGGTCACATTATTTAACTTTTTCTTAGCTGTTCAATATAGTTTCACATTATTCTTTCTAATAGTTGTTTGTTGGTTTTTTGTTTTGTTTTGTTTTGTTTTAAGTAGATGCTATTGAAGATGCTTCTCCAGGACAATAACGTACTGTGTGCTTAGTATACAGTTTTTATTATTGTAACAGTTTTGATGCATAGTACAATTCTCTGATCATGTTTTCTATTTTCATTATGCTCTATAATTGTATACAGAAAAAGTGGGACTTTTTTATTCTGCTGCAACACTAGGCTCACTAAAACATACTTGCAGGTGTGACTAACTAATAATGAGATCTAACACATTCAAATTAGTGTTAGTCTTCAAAGCAATCACTTTGACAGGTAATTTATTATTGCAGTGATGCGGCTGTTTCACAGATTGTATTTGGGACTTCTTTTTTTGTTATTGCCTTCAAAAGTACTTTTGTGCCACCCAGAAAAGTCAGTCTCATTACTTTGGTCAAAACCAGTGTCTAATAAAAAATATAATAGAATTCAATCCTGTATTCATTTTGGGGGGCTTGACCACCTGACTTAATAACAAATTCATTTTTTAAATTTAAACTTTCCTTTAGGGAATTCTGGTTTGGAACCAGTGGGTGGCACAGAGCCTTTCAATAAAACAGTGCTTTACTTTCAGAATGCTATTGTCATCGTGTGTGCATTTATGCGATGTGTATATGTGTGTGTACTTAGTGCTTGTGCAGGATGTATAAAAATTTCAGATGACTGATAGAAATTTGTACTTGTTTATGATCTTTAAATCTGATTTACTTTGAAAGTCCATAATGCATTACACACGGTGCAAATTCCAGTGTTCTTGCCTTTACCTCTTCCCTGTCCCAGTGCCTAGCTAGAACCCTCTGCTATGCCCGCTCAAGGCAGCAGTGAGCAGTTTCATATGTGGCCTTCCAAATGTAGTCTGTGCCTATACCCACTTGTATTTTTTTTCATATTTTTACAAAATCAAAATATTTTCTACCAGCTTTTCATTTCTCAGTGCATTCTTGATTTGTCTAAATCTCATGAAGAACTTTCCATTTTTTGTATGGTATGCTGCTATGTAAATGTATCACAAAAATTTATTTTAAAAAAAATTTAAAAGTAATATCCCTACCAGAATTTTGGAAATGTCTGTGGAAGAGTTTAACAAAATTGTTGATTTGGCTTGCATTTTTATTTTTGGGCACTTTGCAAATCATTGTTAGTTTCAGCAATGGACAATTTAGACTCCTGTTTTTACTTTTAAAGCACTTGTTTCTTATTTTTTAATGATGTGAGCTTCCTAATTTTATCTGTGTGTTTTAATTGATAGTGAATGTTCTGTTAGTTTTCAGGGGAGGCTGGTGAACACTCCTTGCCTGAGTTATCCAAACCAGGTCTCTGATTAATAAATTAATAAATTAGTTGTGAATGCGGCCCTCCCTGGTGGCACAGCAGCTTAAAACACAGCACTGAGAATCTAAAGCCACTTTCGCATGAGTTCGATTCCCGCCTGCCCCGGAGGTGACCACATGGCGTGGCAGACCTCTCCTGACCCGCCTGCTGCTCTCCTCAGCAGTGTACTTCCTTGATCTGCCTGTTCTGTTCCCCACTCTGTCTCTGGTGAAGCCTCTCACCGCCCCTGAGCCTCTGGTCTGTACCCCAGTTCTGTATGCACAAATAAATAAACCTTTAAAAAAAAATTAGTTGTGAATGGAATTTTCTTCTGATCTTGGAAAGAAAGTAACTTCCTAGGAGGAGTGTTATCCATGATAGCAGCCCTCAGAGGGAAATGGGAAGTAAGATATGTCTAAGTAAATATTTCAATTGCATATCTAGAGTTATTTGATTGTAAACGCATTTGAACATTATCTTCATGATTTTAGCTGATATGTGAAGTGAATCGCTGAGATTAACAAGACATACCTTCAAATTTATGACATCTTTTAGCTTGAAATTCTTTTGAAACAAAATAGAATTTTACATGAAAGAGGTTATTTTGTATATTGCTTGACATTTCATATTTTTGTAAAAAGTAGAAATGTATAACTAATGAAAAACATATATGTACACATAAAATACTAAAAGTAGAAATATTTTATAGAGCCCCAAATAATAAACTCTTGGAAATTGAGGTATTTCATGAGAAAATGTATACTGATCCTTTCCATTTGCCCACTGATAAATCACTTATAAGTTCTTGATTTTTCCCTCCATCTTTAAACTAGAGCGGCTAAGAGGTGATAGGAATGATGAGAATAAAAACATTGTGTTTACTCAGCCTCCTGAGGATATTTTGAGAATTCTAAACTACATACTAGTAAAGATGTATTATAATTTTGAGAATTAGTAGAGCAAACTACTAGATGTAAATAAAGATCTACTTCATTATAAATATTATAATTTCCTGTTATGGTTTGTGGGGAAATATACATTTTTCTTCAATGTTTTCTTCTTTCAACCTGCTGGCTTTAAAATGGGGAACTATTTTTGTTGGATACCTTGGCATTGATAATATTCTTTGTACCTGTAAAATGGTTATTAAAATTTTGATTGTACTTCTTTAAAATTGGATACATGTTTTTCTCTCAGTTTATTAATTCTAAAATTTTCTTCTGTAACACAAGTTTAGATATTTATTCACTAAATTTTACAAATTATACCCTTTGCATTTGACACTTGCATGTTCCTGTTCTTTCTTTGGATCTTAGTATTTTGATATTTAATTGCATGCCAGGAGGTTGACAGCTAGATTACAGAGGTAATTCTGATTTCTTTTGATCCATATGAAATACATAATGTGTCAGCTAATCTGAAAATAATCACAGCACAAAACTCCCATACACTTTTATGACTTGTTTTCCCTTCTGTATTATGAACAGATGTGATTTATAACTTAAATACATCAAGTATATGTTAATGGTATTGATATAATATGTAAACAGTTTATCATTCATATTTTTATATTCTAATATGATTATTATATCGTATTAGTCACAGATTGAAATAAAAGAATCACTATTGTGTTTTTATAATTACTTTATTCTAAATACTCAAACACATTGATAAAGTTATGGAAATAGAAATTTTACTGGGTATTTTGACTCTTGCTATATTTTTCAATTAATTTCTTGAAGTTTCATGTTACAACAAGATAGTCATTTCACTCCAATAAAGTGAAATTTTTCATTACACTTCAAAAATATGTCACTTTAAAGTGTTTTAAAATATTTTGTGATTCAGCCATGAAATCTGTTATGTCTTATATACAAATACAGATAAACTATGTTTACCTTATTATCAGGTATAATAATTTATTTAAAAAGCAGGTGACAAATAGATCAGTGGGTTTATAGTCTGCTCCATTTCTTCCCTTTAGGCAAAGCTCACAGTTGGGAGATGAAAAAACATTTAGTGATTCATCACTGCTGGAAAACCTCCAAAATAATCATGTAAGTGATTATCCATTATCATAAAACCATTATCTTTCCATTTATGAATTAAAAACAATTGTTTCCCTAAATTACCTTCCATCTTTATATATTCCTTCTTTTTTAGTTTTGCAATCATTTTTTAATAATTATCAAGATCTAGTGTTGCTAATTCTTTTTTATTTGACCAATAGGAGTTCGTGGTGATTAGAAGCTCAGTTTAATATTATCATTAGTCATTCTGGCTTTTCAAAATAGTTTCTATTAAATAACTATAAAACTCTACTTGTAAGAAACAATTCACAATTTCAGAATATCTGTATGGGTCAGTTCAGGAGTTTAATCATTGTGAAATCTCTACAACCAGAACTCCAGACACCTGCCAACCAAGTTTCACATTCCACTTATGAAACTAATTATACTCATTAAAATTCTATCAGGTTGAATAAGATTTTGTTGAGTTTGAACTACAGAACTTTTTTCCACAATCACTTCCAGTGTAGAAAGCCAAAACTTGAACTCAAACTCATTACCCCAAAATATACTTCCTCTCTAGCACAGGTGGCCCTTCATAGAACCCTCACAGTGTTTTTTACAGATATTTGAGAGACCGCTGAAGAGCGCTTTTCTAGACCTAAGTTACCTCTTTCCTCTTGAGATCCAAAAATTCACTAAATTACACCTGATTTCATTTCCCAGGATCTTGAGTTGTTTTTGATGTTCTTTTTTTCCTACATCTCTAAATCCACAATGAACCACTATGTTCTTGCCAATTCTGCCTTCTAGAATATGTCTTGAATTTCTTCTTCACTTCATTCTGCTTGTGCCCAGTCCAGACTCTCAGCACCCTCTGACTTCCCTCTTAACTTACAAAGTTCCTTTAACTGACCCCTGCCTCCTCACCAACGTCACTTGGAGCCACTGTGCTTTTCTATCAGCTCCTTTTACTTTTCACTTGTTGCACCTTTTAGGACCTTTTCAGTCAGTCATGTGTGTCTCCTGCTTAATGAAAATCTCTTCTCTGTTCAGTTCTTCATGAGACTACAACATCAGCTTAAATATCACATTTTCTTGAGAGCAACTACATACTGATATTTGCACATTTTCTTCTTTATAGCTCTTTTTATACTACAAGTAAGTGACCCTTATGTTTTTAGTTATGTTTTGTCTTCTCCATTTATCAAGCATCTCATAGTAGGGGCTTTTATGTTGGTCTATTGTTCCAGCCTCAACATAGATTTTTCAAATAATGTTCTAATTTATCTTTACAATTACCTTACCTTTTTATTAAGGGCATAGAGGGGAACTTATTCCTTTATTTGGACTGCATTTCTCTTTCTCAGAAACCTGGCAGAAGGAGGTTTATTTAAAATTTAAAATGTGAAGCTTATTGTAGAAAGAATCCATTTTCATGTCTTCTTTAGGCCTTAATAGTCATTGTACCTAGGTCTTGTTCAGTCAATTCTTTTTTTATTTAGTATGGCATATGTCAGCTAAGATTTCCATTTAGGCAGAGCAGAATGACAGGGTATTACAGAAGAATCCTCTTCATTATCACTCCAACCTAGAGTGTTAGAATCCTTTATCTGTAACCTTATTATAGATTAGATGCCTAAACTTGAAATTTGATTATGGGGCTTCCCTGCTGACTCCAGAGGTTAAGTGTCAGCACTATAAAGCTTTTAGCAACCATTATAGCATGAGTTCCATGCCCAAACAGGGAGCTAACCCACATGGCACAGCAGACCTCTGTTGTCTCACCCACTGCTCCCCTCAGCAGTGTATTTTAGTAGATCCATCTGTTCTGCTCCCCACCTATCACTGATGCATCCTCTCATTCCTGCACCTCTGGCTTGCACCCTGGTTCTTATATGCAAAAATACATTTTTTAAAGTAAATAAATAAATCCTATCATGAATTAAAATCAGATAAATGAACATGCTAGAATTTTGCTCCTGTCCTTTAAGAAAAAGATTCAATCATTTATAACTTTTCTATTTAATAACACAAAATTTTCTTATACAAATGTTTATAAAATGAGTGTAAGAGTGAGTGAGTTCAGTTAAAACTGTTTTCCTCCTAATAGATGTTGATTTCTTAGTTGACCATAACTCCAGGACATGAAGATTACAACTATATTACTAGTGCCAAAGTATGTAAATGAAGAACACTAAATTACACATTTATTTCTTGCAGCCAACTGCACCTATAATATGTGAATTCCTTACAATGATGGCAGTTTGTCACACAGCGGTGCCGGAGCGAGAAGGTGATAAAATTATTTATCAAGCAGCATCTCCAGGTACAAATAAAAATTTTGTGAAACATTTTGGTAGAAAATTGTCCTGAAGTTTGAGATTATAAAAAATAAATAGGTAGATATTAAAATATGTGATTTTTGGTATATGGAATAAATTCTATGGAAATTTGAACAGCATTCACACAAGTAAAATCGGTACTTTTTATAGACATATAGTAAATTCTCCTTTATAAATAAGAATAAACATTTATTCATAAACGGTTTTTGTACATAAGCAAACAGGAAAAGTGTTTGCCTAAATAGGGAGCATTTTAGAGATCCAATTTCACTTTCCTTTTTGGAAATCATAATCAAGAAGTTTGTAGTTATTTTAGTGAAGAAAGTTGTATGGAATGGGTTCCAGTGTGTAAAATACTATAATGCAAGAACACAGTTATCATTATTTATTATTTAGACTGAATTTCAGATCTATGTTCAAGGTAACATAGGTCAATTTGATGACTGGAAGACTTTAATAATGAAGGGCCACACTTTGGAGAACTTAGTTTTAAATTATATTCTAAACCAGCACCTATAACCCTACAGAAGGTATCAAGTTCCTAAAAAACACACACACATGAAATGTTACATCTCACTTTGTTAGGAAAGAATCTATTTTATTGTATACTTATCTCATATCCTAAGCTCAGTGATATGATTTACTGTCATGTGGTCATGAAAGTAAATAACATAATAAAACATCAGTTTATTTAATTCCAATTAAACTGAATCCTCAGTAGTTGTAGTTTTTCTATATTCAGTAATTTGGGAGACAAAACATAAAACTAAAGGCAATTTTGTGGCATTTATTTTTAGAAAGATTTTCTAGAGAATATGCAGAAACAAGGGGTGCATTTAAAATTTCCTTTGTGGTGGGCAAAGCTAACAGTAAAACTTGATCTTCAAAAATAAGACTCTGGGTTTGCACATGTGTCAGATCTATAAGATTATAGATTGGTATTGCTATATAATTTAGAAGAAATGGATTTCAATGACAGGGGCCAAAATAAGGAAAATGTTAATTCTATTAAAATTATGTAGAAAATTCTATCATACAAGATGTCATCCAAAATGACAGAAAATTCTGTCATGTTTTCCTTGTATTGTGATAACTTTTTTTCACCATGTATATGCTTTTGCTTGTCTTTCTTAAACAGATGAGGGTGCCTTGGTCAGAGCAGCCAAGCAACTGAATTTTGTTTTCACTGGAAGAACACCTGACTCGGTGATCATTGATTCAGTAAGTCTTTTTCCTCAAAACAATACACGTGCAGTTTCAAAGATAAAGATACATAATAAAAGAGAGGTCCCCTATTCTACTTCTCAGAAGTAATATTTTCTGTCTTTTAGCTATTTCTTCATTCAATATATCTCTTTTTCAAAAACTACCTAGTTACTTATATGTTTTAATTCTTCAATTTTAGACATATTTCTGTTAGCTTTCTATTCTATTGTGTCAAATGAGGATTTATCTCTCTTAACTCACCATCCCTTTCAACATTACTGTATTCATTTTACAGTTTTTATATAAATATTCAGACCTAAATTTAAAATGAGCAAGACTTAGATATCTCACAAATAAAGGCTTAGGAACGGCCAATGAACACACAAGAAGGCATTTTTAGTTACCAGGAAGTACAAACTGAAATCATAACATACTACCACATACCCACCAAAAAGTCTCAAACTAAAACACAGCAGCACCACCAAATATTAATGAAGGTGTAGAGCAAGTGGCGAAGCTAGATATTGCTCTTACACCTGCTAGTACACCTTTTAGAGTTTCTAATGCAGGCAAGTATACATCTGATGCAGCAACTGTACTCAGTTACCAAGAGAAATGAAAGCCTATATCCATGGAATTTTGATAGCAGCTGTATTCATGGTAGCCAAAAAATTGTTAACAAACCAAATCCTGATAAATAGGAGAACGGATAAGCCGATTGTGGTATACTCATATAGTGGAGTAGATAGACAATAAGAAAGAATGAATTATTGATTCATCAACCTCTTGGGTAAATCTCAAAAAACATGTCAAGGAGTCGGGGAAGGCAGGCATAAAGGAGTGATACCCTTTCATTTCATTTAAATGCACCTCCAGTTCAGACAATGTGATATGCAGTAACAGAAATTAGAACAGTGATGCCTCAGGGTTTTGAAGGAATTGATTGGAAATGGCAAAGGAATTTATGGAGTGAAGAAAATGCTCTTTATTTCTTGATTGTTTTAGTGGTTGCACTGAGTTTACAGTTTTCATTGAATCAACCATTTAGGATCTGTGTACTTTATTACATATAAATTGTATTTTACTAAGAAGTCATTATTTGTATTTTAATTATTATGCCTATAGCAGTAATTACAGCTGAACATCGTCATGTTCTGTAATTTTCTTTTTTTAATTTTTTCCCCTGACGTAAAATTACTTCTTAATTTTTTTCACATTTCTAAAGATTAATCCCTTATCTTTTTTTTCAATTGCTTAATTTTCCTTCTACCTAAGATTACTTGTTTTGTATGTTCTCAGCATCCTCACCCCTGTAGTCTGCCAATTGCAGCTCTTTCCTTGAGTCAGTCCTCTTGAAGTCTTTCATTCTCTGGTCTGGGCTGAATTTGTTCTGATATTTGTTTCTGTGTCACTTGGAATCCCTTTTGATTTTATTCTGTTTTACATTTTCTGCTTCCTGTCTCTTGAATCTTTTCTCATAGTGAATTCCTTTATTTCTTTGAAATGCTATGTCATAGGTTAAAAGTTGTTACAGAAGCAGAGGACAAAGTGGGGACGGTCCCCAACAAACCATGCTCCTGGAGCTGGTGTGGCTGGAAGCCCCACAGGCTGACAGTTCAGTCTTGCCCACAGTTGCCATCCAGAATTGTCTTCCCGGGGACTTAACTTTACCTCTCTCCTGTTTAGGCTTCTGTTTCCTAAATCCCATGTCTTCTTTGTTCCTGGTAATTCTTTTTGTTTTTGTGAAACACATTCTATTGTGATTTTTTAAGAAAGGTACATGGGCAGTAGTTAATTTATTTTTAGTCCTTTCAAATCTAAGTATTTTTATCTTGCAGTTTACTTAATTGATAGTTCTACTGAATACAGAAATCCAGGCTGAAAATCACTTTCCTGAAGAATTTGATTGCTCCTCTATCTTCTCACCTACAGAACACCTAATTAAGAAGCCAGAAATCTTTGTGATTCCACATTTTTTGTTCTTCCACCTCTGCTTTTCTGGAAGGTGGTAGAATCTTCTTTCTACCAGGAGTTCTGTCATTTCCTGTCAGTGTGCTCTAGTAAACCTGTTTCACCCATTATACTGAACACTTCTGGTAGCCTTCCATAAGTGAACATTTTCCTGATTGACTCCATTTTTCTTCCCTCTTTTTGTTTTATTCTATTTACAATTCTTGAATAATCTTTTAATTTTTTTCTCCTACTTTTCATGTCTTTGCCTCACTTCTTGTAAAGTTTTCTCAGTTTTCTCTTTTTAGTCTTCCATTGATTTTTTAATTTCTGCTCTCATGTTTTTGTTTTCAAGGAGCTTTTTTTATTCTTTCAACATTTCTCTTTTCATACTGCCCTGATCTTGTTTCTGAGATGTCACATTTATGTTGCTTCTCTGAGAGCAAATTGATAGTTTTAAGTTTTATTTAAAAAAAAAAAGCCAGCAGTTAGCAATTTAATTAAATATACTATTTTACCAAGGATATAAAAAACTATGTGTGTGTATGTATGTATATATATGTAATATATATATATATATATATATAATTTTAACCATAATATTACTTTTTTTTAAAGATTTCTTTATTCATACAGAACTGGGGTACAGGCCAGAGTGCAGGGATGGTGACAGAGTGGGGAGCAGAACAGGCCAACTGATGAAGTACACTGCTTAGGAAAACAGCGGGCAGGTCAGAAGACGTCTGTCACGCCATGTGGATCACCTTGGGGCGGGTATCAAACTCATGCTGAAGTGGCTTTAGCTTCTTAGTGCTGTGCATTAACCTGCTGAGCCACCAAGAAGGGCCCTAATTACTCTTTTTAAGATTTATTTATTATGCACACAAGAATTGGGTACAGGCTAGAGGCCTGAGAAGGTAAGAGGATTCACCAGAGACAGAGAAGGGAGCAGAACTGGCAGTTCCATTGAAACACACTGCTAAGGGGAACGGCAAGTAGGCTAGGAGAAATCTGGCACACGATGTCAGTCATCCACCCTGGCCAGAGATTGAACTTGTGCTGCAGTGGCTGCAGACAGCTTCAAAGTGCTATGCCTTAACCTGTTGCGCCACCAAGTAGGGCCCAGAATATTAAATTACTTTTAAACTCTCACTGCAATTGTTGTGTCTTTATTGGGAAAAGAGTACTTCACCAAAAATACAATTTTTCTATATTTTTCATTTTCTATTAAGTAGAAAAGGATTAGTGTTTAATTACGATATCCATTGCATATGGACTACAAGATCAACAGTGGCAGGCCCTTGACAAGAGCTACATTAAGCAGAATAGTAAGGCAAATCCCCTCTTGTGCCACAGAAAGGCAGCACAGAGAATATAAATATTAATCACAAAACAGAAAATTTACTGCAAGCAATCTTGTTGTTTCAAAGATTTTCTCTGTTTGTTTCATGGGCCCCATTAAAAAGCACACACTGACAGATGCAGGCCGTATTTTGAAGATTGAAAACACTGCGGAAAGCTTTATGCCATTAGGAAACCACTGCAATCCAGTTCCAGTAAAAGAACTAAAATGTCACATATGAAACATACAGCAAACACTTCAATCTACTGTTGAAAATATGTGGAAAGTAACCCGGGTCTGCTCACCAGTCTCTCGTGCCCATCATGCCCAGAGCCTGAAACTCCACGAGTGACACAATGTTTTGTCTTTAATACTTTTCCTCCAGATTGCTTTAATTTGTTCAGGATACTTGAGTTCTGTGTCAGTGATTATCCTTAAGCTTTGACACTGTTCTCATTGTTTAGAGTGAGATATTTGAAACCTGATATGACAGTGCTGAGCATAGGAAGGTCTCTGTCAACACTGAACTTCCAGTAGGAGTTCTGATAGGATTATTTTAGGAAGTCATGGCGTCTGTATGGAAGTCTCTGCCATCTATATGGCTTCTGTTGGAGTGACTGAATTCCCCAAAGTACAGTGTTCTTATTTTTGCCTAAAATGTTCTAGCTGCCAGAATTTCGGAAGCTGAGTAGGCTGGGGATATCCTGGTTCATCACTTGGTATAAATATAACAATTTAATACTTTGTGCTATCAACTTTAGATTTAAAATCCTCTGTTTTACCCATTATCAAATGAAACTTCTTTCTTCTTCTGGTATGCAGGAAGGACTGGCTTCTCAAGGCACTCTTACCCAGACTTCCCTATTTTAAGACCCTCCTGTGCTTTATACTTCTAGAGCCACCTGGATCTTTACTTTTTTTAGCCTTTTAAGGATTATGTGGTACAGGGTGGCTGGGTCTCAGCCATTCCCAGAGCTACCATGAGATACCACTCATGAATCTTTTTCCAGCTTCCAGATTTTGGGTGCTATTGTCCTTTTTCTTCTTCTCCTTATTTGCTATTTCTTTCTTTTCAGTGTTCAGAGTTATTTAAGTGGGACTTTAGAATGGACAGCACTTAAATGTGTATGCTCAATCTTCTATCTTAACCTGAAATTAAACAACGTCAATTAAAAATAATATATTTCAGAAGGAAAAAAAATTGTATTGACATGTTTTACATTAAAATCTTATTACTAGGTTTTACTTCCAAGAAGCCAAAAATATTTTATGTAATCGTGTATTCCTTTTCTTCATAGCTGGGACAGGAAGAACGATATGAATTGCTCAATGTCCTGGAGTTCACCAGGTAAAATATTTGCTCTGTGATTTGTATGTTTGAGACATAATTGTATGCATTTTGATTTTTTCCCTTTTTAATAACTAGAAAGTATGTCTTCACTTAAATGAAATGTTAACAAAACATTAAATTATAATCTTCAGTTAAAATACAGCTTTAATTGTCATCTCTGCTGTCAAATCACTAACAGCTTGCTTCAGAGTATGGCAAGAATGACTCCTAGAGATAATGTGAAAATATTTTTCAGTATAACTGTGTGCATCACAACCGTGGGTTATAGAACATTATAGTCAATGAACTGGAAATATTGAGATAACTTAGAGACACCAAGATTTACATGGAAGATGAATCAGAATCAGAAACCCACCATTCTAATTCATTATAGTTAGTTCATTGTAGTTAATTGTTTTTAGGATTTGGGAGACCATATCCATTTCTCTGTTAGGTAAAAAACCTATTACCATCTAGTAGGAAAGAGCAGAAAGCAAAGAGATGATTCATCTTACTTTATTTCTAAGGTTAATATAAGCCTTCCATTATAATCAGTGTTCCCTTTGTCAAATTTTTGGCATTTTTATCTCCATATTACTATATAATTCCCCTACATTTGGGGGCCAGGTGGGCCTCAACTACAGTCAGGAGGATCTTTAAAGATTGTATCGCCATTCAAAAGATATTTTAAAATACCTTCAAGGTCACAGCTTCAAGTAATATAGCTGTTTAGGAAATAAGTGTTTAGGAAATAAGTGTCCACCTCTTTTTATTTAAATTCTTCCTGTATAAGGCAAGCCTGTCTGTTGACTCCAAGAAGCATTTTTTTTTTTCTGTGCCAACTTTGGTTGCTGTCTTATTTGGGAATGATCATATGTCAGTGATTAATATCAAAATTAATGGGGGACTGTCATATTTATTATTTCAACACTGTTTTCTTTTATACACTGAAAAGCTCAAGGGAAATGTATATTAGATGACTAATTATAGTAGATTATTCCCAAAGTATCCCCTAGTTCTTTTTTTTTTTTTTGACTATCCAAGTGACTTTTTCCTAAGCCTAACTATATCTGTAATATATTACAAATAGAATATCAGTTAGCATTTAATATGCTTGTTTATTAACACACACTTAGAAAACATTGCCAGATTGTAAGTGCAATAAGGAAATAATAAACAAGATTAAGAATTTAAGCCCTTTCAGAATGCTCAAAAGGGGGTCAGCTTAAGGGAGTAAGAAAAGAGGATATAGTGGTATTATAGTAGTCTTTGTGAAAGATATTAGTGGTTTAGGGTAGATTTTTAATAATGAAAATAAAGGGAAATTGATAAGGTCTGAATACCTTTGTGGAAGGAAGTCAGGGAAGATTGGGATGGACTGGATGTGGAAGGAACAAAGAGAGGAGTTAGGATATCACATAAACAACTGTGTGTGTATATTGTTTACAGTGGCATCAGATACCAAAATAGGAATAGATGCGGAGAAGATATTTGGAATTATTCATTTTTGGATTCCTGTAAGATATATAACTGGAGTTAGTAGGTAGACATTTCAATTTAAGGGTGTGGAATGGAGCAGTGGGAGAGAATGGAGAGGTCTGCTGTGCCATATGGGTCAGTTCCCTGGTCGGGGATCAAACTTGTGCTACAGTGACTACTGATAGCTTCATAGCACTGAGACTTAACCCCTTGAACTACCAAGGAGGCCCTGCTTAGAATTTTTTTAAACTGAAAACTCTACCCTAGTTGGTATTAATTCTTGTTAGTTAATTCTAGGGAGCCATTTTGTTGGTATTAATTCTTGTTAATTAGTTCTAGGGAGCCATTTTGTAAAATTAGTCCTCTGGAAAAGCAGATGGTACCCCAGTGCCTTCAAAACATAGCCTAACTTTCAGAGGTACCCATAACTGTGCACCCACAAATACTTTATGCAGATGGAGGTATTGGCCTCATAATTGGGTCAAATTTACTTTTTCACTGTGAGGAAATGTGTGAGGCAGGACGAACATAAATGTGCATCTCCTCAGCATAATGACCCAATATGGAAAATCTCTTTATTTCAGTGCTAGAAAAAGAATGTCTGTCATCGTTCGCACTCCATCCGGGAAGCTACGACTTTACTGCAAAGGAGCTGTAAGTTTTTATTTTTGTATTTTACAGTTTTGATTTATGATGGTTTATTATGTATGTGGTAAGCATTCTGCCATGGAAATGTAACACAGATGTTCAATGTGAAGCTGCTGACATCTGCTTTTGTTGGTATTTTATAGTAAAGGTGTTCAGCCTTTTCTGGTGAAATGGGACTTCCTTCTGGGTAAATTTGGTGCTGTGCAAAAGTTTGGCATAGAGTATTTATATAATTCAATATTTTATCCATCATATTTGAGGTTTATATTCAGTTTGTTAAAGAAAATAAGTAAATACAGAAGGCATTTTAAATTGTATCAGAAATATTAGAAAACCACATCAGTTTGAAACTAATTTTTTGAAAATCATGGAAATGAAAAAAAACTGGGTAACAATCACTGTTGAAATTTCTTCATGTGCTGCTCCCCATTTGTCTTGTATTGTTTGAATTAGAACAGAATTTCTAACTAGGGGTTGGTTTTGGTATATCTGAGATTATAGGTTCACAGGTTAATAGAAATAGTAATTTGTCACTCTAACTGAATATTCCTAGCTATGGTTACACTTGAGGAAATACTGGAAATACACTCAGCAAGACCTTTTTTGTTCTTAAAATCCATCAGTATTTTCCCCCTGAACTATCCTTCCCAGGTACTTAATCTCCTTAGACTAGTCAGGTAACTAATCAACTTGGAACTTTCCAACTTGTAATTAGCAAAATTTTTTGGAAATTAGGAATGAGCCTAATAAAATGTCCAGACTTATTTGAATTCCTGTTGAGAATGTTTTTCAATTCCTAGGGTATTTTTTCACTGCTTTGGTTTTAAAGCACTTGGTAGACCCATTTCATGGTATCTCACAAATTATTTATATTTGGTTGTATTCCATTGTGTTATATGTACATCTTCTTGATCCAATCATCTAGTTTTGGGTGTTTGGGTTGATTTCAGGTTCTACCTATTGTAAATAGGTTCTACCTATTGTAAACATCGGGTGCAGGTATCCTTTTGAAATAATGTTTTTGTATCCCTTGGGTAGATAAGATAAACTCATGCCATTCACAGCAACATGGATGGAGCTAGAAGGGTTTATGCTTAATGAAATAAATCAGGAGGAAAAATGAAAAATATTGAATAGTTTCACTTATAAGAGGAATATAACAGAACCAAATAAGACATGGGAGGGAGTGTATTGTTACTACAATACAAAACAAAACAAAACCAGAAAAACAGACAATTATAAGCCAGAGATATCCTACAGGGGAGAAGGACAGAGTGGGATCAGAAGGAGGGAGGAATATGGAGGACTATTGTTATGACAGGTGGGCAAAGTGGGGGAGGAGGAAAGTAAACATTGTTTTAAAATGAGCAACAATGGAAATAAATATGTAATTTATTAAAAAAGAAAGAAAGAAAAGGAAAACAAAAATACCAGTAAAAAATTCCTTTGTTAATTTGAGCACTTAACATTTATTTCTTGTTTACATTTTAACTCCCAGATTTTGGGAGGCTTAAAGATAAGACTGAAGACTTGTCAGGAGTTTAAAACTAGTCGAAATACACACACACACACACACACACACACACTCACGTAAAGAGAAATTGAATATACAGCATAAGGCATATGTTAAAGGTTCCCCACAACCCAATGATAGCATGTAGTAAGAGGGGCATTAAGAGTGTTTTTAAGATCCCCTACCTGAGATGTTAATATGGCCAGCTTACTACACACAGATCATATCTAGCCTTAGTTTTGATATCTTCTACCTAGAAACTTTGGGGAGTTAAATCATTGAATACACAATAGAAACATTGGACTGCCCTTTGCAATAAAAACATGTGGACAACCTTCTTGATGGTTTCCCTGCACTAACTTACTTATTGCCTTCTTCCCTTACCTGCCCCACTTCCAAATTGGCTATGAAATGTGGTTAAATACTAAAAAAAAGGCATAAACATGAAAAATGACAAGGTTCATTTGAGAAATAATTATAGTTTGGCAGGAATAGCAGAATTTGAGGTTTTTAGGACTTAGAAATTTAGTACATAGTAATAGATTGCATGTGGGTGAGGAAGGAAAAGATGATCTAGTATTATTATTAGGTTTATATTTGACAAACTGAGTAAAACCACTTACTGATAGAGAGTCAGCAGCTACATCTGAGCTATAAGATGAGAATGCTTAGGGAAGAAATCTGGGTTGCAGGTACAGATTGTAGGCATTAATGAGTATTGCTAGAAACTAAAAGCAGGCTATTGATGAAATCTCATATGAAGTAAATATTGTGTAAAAAGAGTAGAGGGCTAAAGGTGAGAAATAGAAGAACAGAAAAGGAGACTGAAATTTGGAAGAGACTCTGAAGATCCTATTAATTCCTTGAAAAAGTGATGATGAGTAGGGGCAAATGCAGCAAAAACCTCTGTAAAAAAAAGTCAAATGAGAAGTATTGATTTCACTCATATTTTGAATATTTAAGAAAAAGAAGAAACAGACAAAACTAGACCAAAACAGAAATCTGACTGGAGAGTTAGGTCACCAGAGGAGAGTATGAGAGAGAGTGAGTAAAGAGGGGAGGGGCCCAAGGACTATGGTAGAGGATTATGGGTAATTTATTGGTGACTATAGTATGGTAACATACATCTGAAGAGGTTTGAACCTGTACACCCTAAATCATATACAGTGTGGCAAATTACCTCACCAATTACCAATATTACCTCAGTTTTTTAAAAAATATATAATTTTTTTTAATTTGAAAAATAGATGTCATGTCTAATGCTTGCTAGTTAAGAGAGCATAGTATGTTCATCCTTTGGTTTATCTACTCCAACCGCTGAAAATGAGGCTATAGTATAAAGTGAAGTCATAAGGTAAAACCAGGTTCAAAGACAAGCTGAACATTTTTAGACCAAAATAAGAATAACCCATCAAAGTGGTACATGGAACAGAAATCTTGAGCCAGAATGGGGTGGGGTCCCAGACCCCGGATTCAGAGTCAGGGAGTGGTGGTTGGAGTTTGGACTCTGTGGAACATGGAAGGAAATGGTACTTTCTAGAAAATGCAGACAGGAGCCAACCTAACCCTCTTTGAAAGCTAATAAAAAAAAATGGTGAGAAACTGAGAAAAACTGGACCACCTTTGCTGGTGGTGGGGGTGTGTATATGAAGCCACTAGATTGGGATACCTGTGGAGGAAAAAGGAAGAGTATGGCATAGAGACACACTAGGAAATCCCATAGCAAAGAGAGAAGCAACATAAACCACTGAGCCTCAATTCACTCAGATAAAATTATTGCATCATCCATTCTGACAAGAATGTAGCCAGATAAAGAAATCAGTTATTTTTAATCAAAATGAAACTGGAGGAGGGAAAAATGGAGATAGGAGTAAGATAAATGAGGAACCATAAATAAATTTAAGAAAAAAAAAACAGTAAATGGAATCAACTCTAGATAAGGCAGTGTTGAAGGATGGGGGTGATGTTAGTGACTTAGAAGATATTACTGAAGAGTTCATCTAGAATCCAACAACAACAAAAAATGGTGACTCGTGTGTGTGTCTGTATGTCTGTCTATTTTTCTTGCTTTTTCCCAGAATTTCTGCAATGAATTTCCCTTGCCTTTTTTTTTTTTTTTTTTTTAAGGAGCAGGAGAGAGCAGTGGGGAGAGAAAAATAACACAATACACAATTTATGATTTATGTCTGCAGTGATAGCCAACAAAAAAGTTAATTCATGAAAATTAAAATTCTACTCGGAAACATATATGCCAAAGGAGAAATTAGAAACTTGATTAATAAACTTAGAGACTGAGAGACTTTCACGTGAGAAATTTTAATTAAGTACCCTTAAATAAAATTCTGTGCCAAGTGCAAATAAGACCAAGTCTGAAAATAGTTATTTTTAACAGTTCATCACCAAAGTAGAGGCAAAAAACAGAACATTCTGAGTGGCACACAGAACACGTTTGTATTAAATATAGAGATGCCTGATGTCTAGCAGTCATTCCAGTTGTCAGGAGCCTGTTCAGGTCAGTCCTGCCCCATTGTGTAAGATGACAAGATCTGAATCCTTAAGGGTAATTGGCTAATTGATTACAAGAATGTCTGGATACTCTCAGTATAAATTGTAGTACTTAAGTAATGTTGGGAAACTCCTTTTTTTCCAACTCACTACCTTCTTATTATTGGCTCTTGCATTTCACTGTCCAACCCTTCTTTGGCATGATCAAGTGTTTTTGTTCGTTTAACAAGTACCTTGAACACTTGCCATGTGCCAGCCAGCACTGAAGCAAGAGCAGTATTCTAAAAGATGATGGGGAAAACTTTATAAATGAAAATTCAGCTAATATCATATAGCCCTAGACTATATGATAGGGACGAGAATCTGGCAATGCCCTACCACTTCTATAGCATCCTCTCAATATGACTTTTCACTTTTACCTTGTCAAGACTAGAACACCAGATTATTAAATCCACTTAGAATTTTCTGTAACTGTACACTGAGGTTCTGGATCTGATCCTAGGAGATGCACATATTTTCTTTATCCCTGTATAGATAACATTTTTGTTTTCCATGAACATACCCTATCCCGGAGGTAGCCCTGTGAATAAATCATTTTTACTCTGGGTCTATATGTATTTAGTTTTCACATGTAGCACAGCTCATTGTGATTGTCATTGAAAATCATTTGGTTTATACAGAAGACCACACTCACCCCTGCTTTCTTGGATACTAAAAAGGAGACAGAACTTGAGTTTCTGCTATCCTGAGCATCAGTTTGAATTTTATGGACGTAGTCAGTTGAGTCTTAATGTGACACAATCAGCAAGATTCAGCAAGAATCACTTGGTGTGTCCAAGCTTCTCCCTCCGTCCCCACCAGCACTCTCAGTGGATCAAGACCTGTGTTTTCTCTTTTGCGATTATCCACCCCATAAACATGCCCTAAGCCCAAAAAGATTTGGTGGTGAATGAGTTCGGAGCATATACCATATCGTCAGCTTAATCCATTGAAAAATATAATCTCCCCTCCCTTACCATTTACCAGTGTTGGTCTTGTGATTTTAACTTTTTTAAAGATTTTCTTAGTTTTAAAAGTCTTTTCTAACCTCACAGAAAATTTCATTAGCCTCTGGAAAAAACAGAGTTCTTAATTTATACATTTCATTCTCCTCAAGGAGCCTTAAGGAGAAATTATCATTTCCTTTTGCTTGCTCCCCTTTCCATTCTGCCACTGAAAAATGAAAAGAAATTCATAATTGGAGCCTGGAATATTCCATCTGTTCTGAGGTCACTAAGTTCTGTTTCTCTCAAGGGTTCTAAATCATACTCCATTAGTCTGCTTCCAAATCTCAACTCTGAGACTGGAGACCCCAAACTGGGTTATACCACTGAGAAAGTAATTGCAGGTAAATGATCTATTTTTTCCTGGTCTAATAAAACCATGCAGGCTGAATACTAAAATTCTTAAAACATTAAACCAAACTGAAAAATATCTGAAGAAACAACTGGCAACTTATAAAGGGGCAAAAATTAGAGAAACATAAATAGGTCATATAGTTAAAGCTGAAAGGAACTGTAAAGATAATCCAGTCGTTGAATTTTATAGGTGAAGTCAGTTGAGTCTTCAAGTGACACAATCAGCAAGATTCAGCTGTCAGCCATCACTGGGTGTGTCCAGGCTTCTCCCCACGGTCCCCACCAGCCCTCTCAGGGCATCGAGAGCTGTGTTTTCTTTTTTGCGACTACCAGTCCCATAAATATGCCGTAAGCCCTAAAAGATTTGGTGGTGAATGAGTTTGGAGCATATACCACATCGTCAGCTTAAAAATCTGCTGTGCACATTAACATTTTAAAGACTCTGAAAAGCATGACAGCACCACAGGGGGCAAGCGCTTTTGCTTTGCTCAGTACAGCATTTCCCAAACTTGTTTGACTGCTGGAACATTCTCCTGATATCATCCATGAACACCCACACTATTCTGCCGACCTTCCAGGTTTGGAGGCAAATGTGGTATTAGGAGAATATGAGGTTTTGACCAGGGATCTATTAAGAAAGGTGAAAAGATAGGATTAGACCTTATTGCTTAATGTCATCACAGAACAGTGTTATTAGAGAAAAAATGTTTTTATGCTTTTAAATTAACATGAAAAGAGACTATATTTTCCTATTAGTTTGCCTCTAATAATTTTACCAGCAGAAACTTTATTAAAACTCAGATTGTTTACTTAAAGCATGTTATACCTTCTCTTTGTTCTCCAGGACACTGTGATTTATGATCGACTGGCAGAGACTTCAAAATATAAAGAAATTACCCTAAAACACTTAGAGCAGTTTGCTACAGAAGGTGAGTCTAACATGGCAGTAAAGCTTGATTAAAATAAAAAGAAATCATGTTTTTCAGAATCATTGTTTTTCATTTACTTAGCAATTCCTAAAGCTGTGCTTCATCTTGATAACTTGGATTATATTACAGGCTTACTTTGTTTTATTGCACTTAGCTTTATTGTACTTCGCAGATACAGGTGTTTTGTTTGTTTGTTTGTTTAATAAGACCCTCCACCAACAAAAAGATTAGGACTCACTGAAGGCTCAGCATTATTTTAGCAATCAAGTAATTTTTAATTAAGGTTTTACATTGTTTTCTTCAGACATAACAGTGTGGCACACTTTACAGAGTACAGTACAGTACAAATATAACTTTTATATGCACTTGGAAACCAAAACATTTGTATGGCTCCTTTATGGAGACAGTGGCTCTGTGGGGCAGTCTGGAAATGAACCCACAATATCTCAGAAGTGTGCCTGTGTCTGCTCACAGTATTTTCTTTCTTTCCAAAAACTGTATACATTAAAATTTTGAGACTTTACCCCCACATGGGTAAAGAATCCATATTTCTGTTCACTTTTTTTTTAATTCTGCTCACCTTCTTAGTATGAATACTATCTATACTCTAAACACTTTGTGCCTTTAAGTACAAAGTAAGTAGGAAACGAAACCAAAAAATGAAAGAACTGGATATTCTAATTGGAATAAAAAATAAACTGAAATATTTCCCTATATAGTGGTATATCTATTTAAACCTATATACCTCCTCAGGCCTATATTCAATTTAGTTTCAGCTCCAACTTTTTAAGCCCCCACTACACACCAGGCCCCTTGTACAGCCAGAGAATCCACAGCGCATGTACATATTAATCTGCCCTAAAATATACAACTGCATAGCAATACAGGGCAATCTAGGGAGGTGAAAGAAAGTGAGACTTGTTAAACATTAAGGTCAGTTACTATAAGAATTTGTGGAAACTTATCTCTAAATTGAAAAAAAAAGTGACCAGAACTGTATCTAAACCTCCCATCTAAGTTTTCACTCCTGTCTGCTTCAGCTAAAACTGTTGCCTCTGGCATGAAACTTGACCTCTAACAAATCCTTTTTTCCCTTGAGCCAAGCTGAGAAAGGGTAGGAGTGCTTGCTATGAGGGTGAGGGAGAGGAAGGGGACCTAAGCTTTGAAAAGCCAGGACACAGCCATCTCCTGATGCTCCTTGAGTTTCCAGGAACATGGAAACTCACAGTGACCATAGAATTTAAATTCTCCAAGTCCCAAGGCCCACAGACCTTGAGGGGCGGGGAGGGGGGGTGGAGTAGGGTGAAGGGGCGGGGTTCCAGGTACCACAGCAGGGGTTCTTTCATTGAAGGGCTTGGGGAATATCTTTCCCTTCTCTGATTGTGATGTTAAAGGTACTCTGGCTCCTGTTGAATGGGCCTGGTCTTCACCTCCACTCCCTTTTTCTGGCTTTACACACTTCTTGTCTGCCTGGGAGTAAGTTTCCTAAAGAAAAGCATGTCAATATAGCCCCAAAAAGATAATAAATTCTCCATTTGTACATCCAGCAACAGACAGTCCTGCTCCTGTCTTGGAAATTGTATGCCCTTGGCTTCTGACATGTTGCTTGCCAAGTTTTATTTAACTTGAGGTCACTAGCACCTACCTTTCAAAGGGTTAAATGACATTGAATGAGGTTTTTTCCTTCTTAGCAACTGAGTTAACTGCCTGTGTTGTGATTGACAAATATTTTTGCCTATTCCTTCTTCCCAACTCACGGACATTTTTCTGGCAGTGGTAGCCTCAGGGTGAGTTACAGAGTTGGCTGATACCAAGCACTTGAGGAACCTCAAACATCAGCTTTGATTATTTTCCAGGGTGTTTCTGATAGGTATTCGTTTTTGTTACTGTCCCTCCATTGTATTTGGCATCTTTACACTACAAGTTTAAAATGGTAAAAGCAGTAATGAACAGGCATCTGTCCCAGTAAGAGAAGGTGGCTCTCTTGGTAGAACTGATAAGGGGTTCCTCCCTTCTAAAGCATCTGTGAAGGCACTGTGATCAGTCCTGGAGTTAACAATGTGAGGGACTCTGTATCCATGCTGTCCATGAACATAACACTAGTGAGGAAAACCCACAAGAAAACTCCATGAAACACTGCCACACTAGAGGAGAGTTTGGGGATTGCTCTGTGTGGGATCTGGGGGAAAGTAGGATGTTTTTAGAGCTGAGTCTTAGAGTAGACAGACAGGTGGGGGACAGGATTTGGAGAGGGAGCAAAGGATGGAGAAAACATGATGATAATGTTCAAAGACCCCATCATGTAGGAAGAGAATTGGAGGGTGTGAGTTTAATGGCAGCTAATATAAGCAAATAAGCCAGACTGGGGATTTAAAGTTCATCTTGGGGAACAGCAGAAGATTGCAAGCAAAGGCATGACCTGATAAGATTAGGATTTTCAGAAAAGTCATTGTAATCGTGGAGGATGAATTAAAATAATTCTGATTAAAATAAATTAGAAGCAGGGTGGGATGGGGATGTTAAAGGCCAGGGGACCACTGATCCATGTTTCACACAGAAGTTTTATCAGACTTGAGTTGATCTTCAAATTATTGTTTAAAAACAGCAATTTAATGAGGCCTTGTTAAATAAAAAGGAAGGCACCGGATTTATGAATAAAATCTGATTGGTTGCTGGGATGTCTGCTACTTTTTTTTTCAGGGCTAAGGACTTTGTGTTTTGCTGTGGCTGAGATCTCAGAGAGTGACTTCCAGGAGTGGCGGGTGGTCTACGAGCGTGCTTCCACAGCTATACAGAACAGGCTGCTCAAGCTGGAGGAGAGCTATGAGCTGATTGAAAAGGTATGTGCAAGACTGTTTCACTCACACAGACATTGGATTTTCAGAAAACTTTAATCTTTACTCCAGGGGCCAATAAAAGAAAAGTCAGAATATCTTGAGAGATCACATACTATTGAATCTCCTCCGGCCTCAGCATTAGCAAATCTTCAGACCAGTTCAAGCTTTTGCTGAAAAGTCTCTGGAATTACTGTGTAAAGATTGTCACTCTTTTTATGGTGTTGGATCAAAGTTAGGCTTGTTTAGTCATCTTATTAACATGTTCCATGCATCTGTGCCACTGAAGATAAGTGTGCCTCCCTCCAGGAGGCACATACATAAGCCATACATGTGTACCTGTAGCTAATAAATGTGTAGAATGTGTAATATAAAAGTATATAACATGTCGCTTGTTTTCCTTTATAGCAAATAGTCACATATAAGTGAACAATCCAGAACTTGTACTTTGCCAGGCCTCGCTCACTTAAATACTCCATCATTCCTGTCACATCTGTAGATTTTTTTCACCTTACAGATAAAGAAACCAAGACTATTTCAGGCAGAAAGTGATGGATACAGTGCAATTGATACTTTATAAATGGTAGGAATTGCTTTCTTCATTTAGACAAGCAAAACATTTTGTATAGCACTTCCCCTGTGCCAGGTGTTATTCATAGCTCTTGCATGTCTTTAGTTATTTAATCTTCACACCATTCTTTTGAAGTAGGTACTGTTAATTTTCCCAGTCTTACAGAAATATCAAAGCAACAGAGAGGTTAAGTGAATTGATTGAGGTTGCACAGTTCAGAAGAGGGTGAACTCAAATTCTCACTCTGACTCCAGAGTTCCAACTCATAGCCACTCAATTATTTTCATTCTAAATTTTTAACTTTTCATTAAACAACTCCCTAATTCTATCATTTCTTCAACTGCATTCATCTTATACTGCACAGAAGCAAGTTTGTCTATTGCCTTCAGGTGAATAAAGGCTGACATTTTTCCTCGGTCCTCTGTCTCAAACAATGTCTTGGTGCTTCAGTCTTGAAACATGGCCAGTGACACTGAGGCCTCTCTGGACTTTTCTCCTACCCACTCATGCGTGCCCTGCCCTCTCTGTCATCCGAGGGAGGGTCTTGCTCCAGCTACAGGTGGCTTTCTCTCTACTACCATTGCTGAGTGTGACTCACATATCATTCTCCAGTCACAACAGATGATGATCACTTTAGGAAGTTGAGATGTTAAGAAATATCTCATAACTATCCTAAATTTGAACTTATTTTTGTGTACTGCTTATTTCTCAGAAGGCTTATCTTAGAGTATGGGGCACCTTCTAACATCACCCCTAATTTATCCTGTCTCTCTTTCCACTCAGCATAAATATAATGTAGCCATTTACCCCTGGACAATAATATTGAATAATATAATAGTTATATTAATTAGTATAATAAGTGACCCAAAAAATCTTGAAAATGGATTTTAAACTTTAAATTTTGTTTCTACTTGAAGTATACAGTAGGGAATTCTGGAGTTCAACATTTAATGTGCCTTATGTTTGTACTCTGAATGTCCTAGAGTTTATAGGTTAGATTTTATATGTTAAACAGTTGTACTTTGTGTGTATGTGTGTTGGTTGACTCCCAACTTCTAACTGAAATAGATATTCAACCTAATTCCAGAAGATGGCGATCGTGAGTCACATTGAAATTTAAGTTACGTGGAGAAATCCTTCATGTGTATATTTTGGGTCCACAAATACAAAAGCTTTCTTTACAAATGCTTCTTACCTAAGGTAATTAAATCAGTTATAGCTAATTTCTTTTTAATTCATTAATTCTAACTTTTATTGTGTTATATCTAAGGCCCAGAAAGGCAGAGATTGTTTCTCTTTCTCTGTCAGTTCCAAATTAGAACTGGTTTTCTATATTCATCCCCCCACCTCTAAATCCATAGATTCCTTCAACTTTCATTTACTTAATTAACTTTAATTAGTCAGCAAATAGATGCACAAGCAAATAATGACCACCTGGCCAAGGTGTTAGAACGTGAACCCTGAGGAATGTCCCACAAACTAGGTCTAAAGGAAGCTTTCAATCATGACCCCATGATTGAGAACGACTTTTCAGAAATAATACCTTTCAGGGGCCCTCCCTGGTGGCACATTGGGTTAAAGTACAGTGCTATGAAGCTGTCCACAGCCACTGCAGCATGAGTTTCCATCCCCAGTCAGTGAGGTGGCCCACATGGTGCAGCTGACCCCTCCTGTTTCACCCACGGCTCCCCTCAGCAGTGTTTAATCCATCTGCCTGTTCTGCTCCCCACTCTGTCTCTGGGGAACCCTCTTGCCAGCACCCCGCACAAACACATTTCTGGCCTATACCCCCAGCTCTTATATGCATAAATAAATAAATAAATAAATAAATCTTTTTTAAAATTATCAGAACATAGATGTGATGTATGTATAAGATATTCCTGAACATACTTGAATCAATAACGCAAAATGGCATGGTGGTGTGGGGGCAACCAGAGGCAAGAGAGGCTGCGGGAGCCAGACGCCTGGCAGCAACAAAGCTCCCCATGAATCTTAAGGCTCTTTTCCTTCTGTCTGGTGTTTTCTCATGTCTCATGGTCTCACCTCTTCTGTGGTCATGCTACTCGAAGTGCTACTCATCCGCCCCACTGCTGCAGCTGCCATAGAGCTTATGCCAGCCTCTAGGCTCAGGTGTGCACACTTACACATGCCTGCATCCATGTTGCAGGTGCCCACAGTCAGGCACACGTGTCCTGGGACTGCACCCACAAGCACGTTGTGTGTGAATATGGTCAAGGCCACAGGTGATAGCCACAGAGGCTGGTGGCATAAAAAGCCTGATTAAGTCATTTATCCTACACATGGCCATATTCACATTGGCATTACCTAAAGGCATTCAAAATTTAGAAGATTTGTGGAACATTTTCTGAAGACAAGAATATTTGTAATCGTGACAAATAAGTGAAAATGTTATGATAAAGATTTTGAACCCTGCTCTCTACCTTATCCCTCCAGGGTTTGTTCATATAAATTCTTTGAAGTTCAGTGAAATCCTTATTCCATGGGGGGCTATAACTTCTAACATAAGCTGAAAAAATAATAACTGAATTGGACAAGAACATCCAGGAAGATAATGATAATCTGTTCCTTGGTGCACTTCTTTGTTACTTTCTTTTACCCCCTCACCTTCCACGACATGGGAGGTTTGAAAAGTCCTCCAGATACTGCTGTCCTTACTGTCATTATTAAGTGGAGGATTTAAGACCTTTACCACCATCTGTAAAATAAAATCACTATTTCTGCTACAAGATTGTATAGTTCAGGTTCCACCATTGAATTCTTTTTTTCTGTTACTATGGGTCAAGAAGTGATATTTATTATTAGAAAGCCACATTATTTCCAAACAAGAAGGTCTCCATAGTTAAATGCAAAAGGGATTATTGGTTTCCTATCAGATGCTTCAAGTGTGTTGACCCAGTTTGGAACGAGCTGAAGCGTTGCTTTGGGTGTTGTGGGCAGTAACACCTCTTCATGTCTCTTTGTCACCACTTGAGAGAATTTACAGTTGTCTCATTCTTTAAGATGACACCTTTGACCTGTTTTTACCTCCTTTAACCTTATTTTTTTGAAATATAATGTATTTAGACTTGTAATTTCAGATTATGAAACCTTTTATAGTATTGGTCTATACTTTTTATATTAGATTATTTTTTAACAAAATTAAAAGAATTTATGGTTGGTTAGGTAATATTGCAAATAAGTAACAGAATAATTGTGAAATCTTATCCTTCATTAGCAGTTTGGTTTCTCTGAAATTCTCTTCTCCTTTGATCTGCCACTTTATTCTAATTATCTGCTAATCACTTGATGTTAGCAAAGCAGATTATTTACCTTGAGTGGCATAGAAAGCAGAACCAGAGATAATGCCTGTAAAATTGAACAGCCATGGAGGCAGTAGTTCCCTTGTGCTAAAACTGTTCCTCTTTTGTTAAGAGGCCTGGGTTGTGAAATATGTTTTTAAAAACTAAAATATTTCTAATGCTTTTGTTAGTTTTTTTTTTTTTTTTAAGATTGATTATGGGTCAGAGAGGACTGTTCTGAGTTGGAGGAATTAGAAAGCTATAATTTTGGCATCATCTCACTCTCCTTTGAAGCAGATGGCAATGTTGTATTTTATGCATGTGTTGTGATTTATGATCAGTGTATATCCTTCTCTAGACTGAAGATTCATGAGAGCCAGGAGCGTTTTTATGGTATCATCACTATGCCTCCAGCGCCTGCCTAGTTGGTCCATGTTAATTACTGAATAAATTATTCAATGAATAAATGAATGGTTCAATTAGATAATTTATTCAGAAGCTAAATTTATTTAGTAATTGCCTGCTTATTTTAATTCTGTCCCCTATTACTATTAAAAGTCCATGCTTTCTACACATTGAGGATGTTGGTATCAAGTGTGTTGTCACTAAGGATTATTATAAGGCTATGTTAGAAAAGGAGCTAATATGTTTAAGCACTTCATTTAAAAAGCCTGCCTTCTATGTTATCTGATCTAGGAGTATGAGAAGTTCATGGCTCAAAAGCTTCAACCACAACCACAAATGTCTGAGCACATGGCAGGCTCCATTCTGGACTCTGGAGCACAGCAGGAAAAGTGGGGAAGGATTGAAAAGTTCTTGCCTAGTTTTAGTGATAGGAGGTAGGCAGTAAACTTATAAGCCAAAGGGGGGAAAAAGTGTTATTTCAGACAGGGCTAGATAAAGCATTCTGATAAGGCATCGAAGTAGTGATCTTCTTTTGTTACTTCCTTTACTCTTCCCTAAAATATGGTTGGCATTTCTGTGATTTTTTTAAAGACTGCCTTGATGTGGTATAATACAGATCAGCCATTATACCAAGTGTGACTAAACACAACAGTTTAACACCCTTTGCAACATGTGGTAAGGAGTGGTTTAGAGGATTCTTAGAGAAATATAAAACTTAATAGAAAACAGGA